TCCAGGGCTGAAATCATCCAAATGATTCTAGTGAAAGTGTATGGAGTTTAAAAACACAGTGGACCACTTCCTGCATTACCACGTGACATCACAAGGTGGAACAGAGTGTTTTTCTATCTGAGAGAAGAACACAGTATGCAGGGTTTGAGTGTCAAACCTGTGTGTGAATGAAACAAAACAGCTCTTGTGTCTAAGTAACTTCCCTTGCAGATCAATTACACGTGTCTAAGCCCTTACTGTGCATCACTGCTTAGAGGTTATGCTTCTTTTTGTCATTTAGTGATCTGCACATTTCTTACAGTATAATAGCAAATTAATACAAATTTATGTTCCATAATATTATAAGTTTGTTTGACAGTTACTCATATTAATCACATTACTCGGTTACAACTCAACCAGCCCACACATTCACCAGAATATAACCTTTTCATGGCCTTTTCCTTATTTTTCCAGGGCTTATTTTGAGATGTGGATTTTGGTTGGTGAGGTGAGTACAGGTCATGTTAAGCTGTCAGTGTCTCTCGGAGCTCGACCGTGAAAAGGAAAAACACTCCAAAATGTTACACGTCTAAACCTGTCTATGCCTTAGGATGTGGGATAATGTCACGCACACAGTCGGCCAGATAAATGCTTTTTGTCCCTCCTCAGCTCCCGTCCCTCACCTTGGGCCCTTTACAGCTCATACAATAGCCAGACAAACCCACACCTTTAACCATGAAATATGAGGAGTGTACTGACTGTGTGTTAGTATGCTGATAGTGCACAGAGGCGGGTCATAGCAGAATAAATGATACCAAGTCAAAGTAGTCTAATAGGGATGGGGGTGGGTGATACTGACAAATATTAATATCTCAATATTTCTTTTGCATTATTCAGGTAATATTTTAACAATGCATCAGGAGTGTGGTACAATGTGCCGGTAAAGGGAAATTATTGCCCTTGTGGATCAATAAAGTTTGTCTAAGTCTAAGGCTAAGTGTCTGGTTGAGGTTCAAGTCGAGGACAAAATATCAGTCGACCGGATAATTAACCACAAAAGGATAGAAGTATCACTTTATACACTTCTTTGGGAGATTACACAACATGTTTCTGTCTCCTTTTGTTGTCATTTATTATCATTTTAATTTTAGACAGTATACTCAATATATAGAATCCAGAGCATCCGATGGCCGATAATCTCTGCAGACATTTTTGGTTCAATATTGATTTTTTTTTCCCCCAAACTCACCCACAGCCCTTTTTTTTAAACCACAGATCTTTAAAAGAGCTGCATAGTCCCGTTTTCAACGGTGTTGTCTTTGCACTGAAGGTTCAAATAAAGCTTTATGCATATTTTAGTCAACCAAAGTATCAGCCTGTGACATTTCTGGTGAGGGTCCGCCACCTGCTTATCTCCTTGGAAATTTTTTTGCTTTGCCTAGAATGTTCCACAGTATACATTAGCTATGACAAGAAAGACAGGCAGGTTACAGCACTATGCGTACAATTCAGATCTGTGGAGAGTCACTCCATTCATGAATTATCCTATTACACCCGTGATGAAAACATACTAAATGAATGTTTTTAACGTCATACCAAGGAATATTCCAGGCATAGCAATAACATCTCTATGGAGACAACTAGATAGCCATGGAGACAACGATAGCTAAGAAGTTCAACTATTGACCCGATCTCTAATTCTAATTTTGCACATCTCTAAAACAGCAAATGAGATATTATCAGTTGTTCTATATTTCCCAGTTCAAATAAAATGATGACTTCCTGGAGCCAAGCATTGAAACACCTGATTCCTGTTGACTTGGTTATGTATTTGTCACCCTGTGTGCTGACAGCAGAGTGAAATGTAGCAGAGACAGCTCCTCACACCAGGGGGCACTTTGTCACATGTGTCACATTTACAAGTACAGTCAACTTCAGATGACTCACAACTTATCTCTCGGCTCAAATTCTCAGTTTTCAAAGCTTGTCTGGAGAAATTTGTGAAACGTACTGTATAATATAAGATATATGTATTATTTTTTCAGTAAATGACCCAGGTATTTATAGGTCCTGTATTACACTGAATTGATTCTTGTGAGCTTTAAGCCATGTTAGAATGTCAGTACTTTATCAAAAGCATACCCAGTGTTTTGTTTCATTTACACATGTTTGAGTAATCCTTTATTATTAGTCTGTCTACATCGCCAAAGCTCAAAATTCTCTGTTCCGCTTTGTGATGTCATGAAGTCGTAGTTAACTTTTACCTTTTGTTAAGTAGAGATTGGCAATTCCAGGTCTGAAATCATCCAAATGATTCTATTGAAAGTGTATGGAGTTTAAAAACACAGTGGAACACTTTTTGTATTACCACATTTGTGTGTTAAACATGTGTGTTTAACAAAACACAACTCCAGAAATGTTTTTGATGAGGAAGCATCATAGATCAGATATTAGCATAGTATGAGTCTTGAAAAGAACATTTGGTCCTGAGGGTCCACAATGCATTATGTAATTTACTTATAATTATACAATATTTCAGTTCGCCTACCTGTACCACATAAGTTATTGCTTGTATAAAGCCTTAGAAAGTTACATAACTATTGAAAAACCTGTGCCATATTAATTATGCTAGACGTATGGTTCTTTCATTGGATTTCAGATTTTCCCACAGCTAAGCATCTACCACCCACTGTTATTGAATTGTATTTGTACAGCTCAATATCACATGCCATTTCATCTTGAATTTGTCACATGGATATATTTTATTTACACAAGTGTTAGATTTCTTAGTAAACACTCGACTGGCTCTCAACTCGTCAGTGCTGAGTTGTGTCACTGTTGAGAGTTGCGCTGAATGTTTAATACAGTCTACAGCTCACAGTGGGAAACAGTGAGGAGCTGTCACGTTTACATTATGCTTCCCAAACTGACTACAGCCTCAACGATTGGTCCAGTCACTGTTGACAATTTACAAAAGACATTATTATCGTCATCAAAATGGCACACGGATTATGGCTCATAGCACAACAAGAAGGTAATAGGTTCAAATCACAGATCAGACGGGTCTTTTCTTTGTGAAGTACTATCCATATTCATGTAAATGGAGAAAGAAAATCTTAAAGGTGCACTATGTAACTTTATTAAAAGATTAGAAGATTATTAGAAAACTGCACTGGAAGCAGACATCGCAGTAAACGTCATTACAACAGCAGCAGTATTAGCAGTATTTTTTTATTTTTTCATATTTTTTTTTCATTTTTCATTTGTACATAATACGTGATTAAACATTGCTCACACATGCACAATTCACCCCAAACACAACTTCAAGAGGGTAAATGAGAAGGGAAAACAACTATAACTTGGTTAAAAGCTCTGAAAAGTTAATTTTGCATAATAGGTGTGCTTTAAGATACAATTTAATTGAGAAAAGGATGTAATTTCAACTTGAGGTTACACATACACTGACTTTAATAAAATACAATTAGACTGCAATGTTTCTGCAAGTCATAAAGGTTAGAGATAAAAATGGTGTTAGCAATTATTGCTACATATTGAAGTATTACATGTACCAGCTGTTGCTGAAAATCCACAGCAGCAGGAGTTTTTTTCTTTCTTTTTTAAATATCTGTTTATTTGTTTTTTGTTGTTGTTGTTGTTTGTTTTTTGTTAATTTTGTCTGTCTGTTTATTTTATCTTTGCTTTTCTGTGTGTGCGTGTGTGTGTGTGTGTGGGTGTGTGTATTATGTTAAAAGCTATTTACTATTCTGACATGTTAAACACTTGAAGATGAAAACAATAAATTACTAATCCCCAAAAAAGAGGTAAAAATGGTGTTAGTCATTATTACTACATATTGTACAGTACTATGTGTAGATGTACAACAGCTATCTTACTTTTTACCAGATGTTGCTAAGAGTGACGAGCAGCAGGTTGTCAGAGAGCTGTATGAAGCAGAAACGCAGGCTTTTGTCCTCCAGGCACATTATCAAACTTGCAACAGAAGCCGAACAGTGGAGGAACTGTCAGTCACATGCAGAGGGAGAGAGAGCCACTGGATTGACAGGAGGCTGAAGTCTGTGAGAAGTGCACACAGTCTTTGTCAGTATTGGAGAATATAGAGGCAAAGATGATTTTTAATTTAAGAGTTAAGGATTTATTTTAAAGAATGATGCCATGTACAGGCCCTTAGTTCTGGGTTGTTGTGTAAAACAGACATCTCGAGTGCAGAGTGATTTATGAAGTACATTAATGTGCCTACCCTTGCACACTGAAAAAGTCATTAGACAGAATGTATGTCATGTGGTTTCTATAATAACAATACAAAGATAGAGAAGTAAATTTTTTTGTGAGTAACTTAAAAAGGAGATATTAAACTTTGATGAGGGAGTTGGAGACATTGTGTAATAATGATAATAATAGTAATTGTGGACTTGGTTTGGCTTTGCGTGTTTTAGCTGTTGGATGTTGATGTAATCCCACATTCATCCAGTAGTGGACCATGGTAATCAGTATTCATCAGGTTTTTGAGCTCCAGAAATTTCATTTTCATTTCCATCCAAAATCTTTCTATTTATTTTCAACTTAAGATAGTGATGTTAAGAAATATGTGTTTTATTACATATAACCAGTAACTGCAAGTGTGGTCTTATAACACAGTGCTGTTAAAATTGGGGCGTTCAATTCCACATATATATGTTTAGTAAAATTATTATTTTGGTATGTTGTCTGTGCTGACATGAAATTAAGTAAAATACATATAAAATACATATATTCAGTTCAATTTCAGTATGATAAAGAACATTAGTTGTTTATTCAGTGAAATAAACTTATGTATAATGTATTTTGCTGTTGTCTTTTAAAGATGCACCTTGCTTGACAACATCCCATAATTTTACCATTAGAGTAGAATAAGAAAGCAGACACATAGAAAGCAGACACTAAACTTTGATAAGCAGTAAAGTAAATAGCCTTGTGATGATAGCCGTATACCATAATGTGTTTCCTTGTGTTATCTGGTTCAGCCTGCACAGACGCAGAGCTGCACAGTCTGGCGGCAAGGCTCAAGGACTGGTTCGGAGTTCTGCACCAAGACGCCAACAGAGACCTCAAATCCTCCGACAGTGTGGATGCTGCCAACGGACGTGAGTTTATCCTTTCTTTAATATGTGTTTTATCCCTTTTCTCACAGATTACACCCCACCTACTGCTCTGATGACTTCAAACTGGGTTTAAATCACAAAGGTTTGGGTGAAATTTACTTTGCCAATCTCTTACACTTACACTCTTACACTTTAATAATAATGTGAGAAAATGTTTTGAAAACAATAAAAAAAAAATATATATATATATATATATATATATATATATATATATATATATATATACTGGTATTCCAGTGGCAAAAACAAAACAAAAAGTCAAGAAAGAGCGAAGGGAGAAACACATGAAACCAAAACATTGAGAAACCAGAGAAACCAAACCCAGAAAACGTTTTGGGTTGAAGTGAAGTTGCTGTATGACACTCCAGAAATGAAAATTCACTTTGGAGAAGTCAACTGCTCTGGCAAATCAACAAGCAACTCAAATGGTGATGAGATCTTTAAATAAGTCAGGAGAGGAGGGAGACCATTTCTGATGATTGCAAAGTTCATGAGCAAAACAATGTTGAGGTACTATCAGTGAAAGAGACATCACCGATGAACTCAAGAGGAGCTTCAGCAAGTGCAAAGAGAAAACAAAAGCTTTGAGTGACCAAAACGGGACCATTTCTGCTCTGACATGACCGATGATGAACCAGATGAAAGAATTTACTTAGGGCAAGTCAATAGTTCCTTCACCAAATCCTTAACAAGCCAACAAAATCCAACAGAGGTCAGAAAAGACAGTTTGATTCCTAAAACCGTTCAAGTGACATTGAGCCAAGTGGTAGACAGAAGAAGACAAGTGGAGCTTCAGCCAGTACCAATGGCTTCAAAAATAAAAAACAGAGCAACCAAAGAAGGAGACCAGGTTTTGGTTTGAAATGCCAGATGAAGAATACATAAACATTTAGCATGCAAAGTTAACCCTCCGGTTTTGTATAGTTGTGCATTAAGTGGATAAACATTATGCAAAAAATCATGACATTTGCTGCTCAAGAGTTGCTAGGCCCATGTCTTGCTTATATTATTAACAATGATTGAAGTAATTTCCCAGAAGACTACAGGCTACAGTTTTCAGATAATTAGTGTTAAACTTTTATAAAATTGTAAAGATTCAGTTATGTTAATTGTCAAATGCACAGGGAAAAGATGGTATATTGAAATTCAAAGCATGTTTTATTTGTTTAATAGAGGTATAGTGCAGGAAATATAAAGTAAATTTTAACTATAATGAGAGTGTGTAAGAGATGGAGAGAGAAGGAGAGGGCAGAGTTTCTCATGAGGCTTGGCACTGATGTTGACAAGGACCCTGCTCTGTTCTGTGTAATGTCAACATGTCTTTGCACAGCTCTGCTCTGTCTCTGCATTCAGCAATACACTCACAATGGAAGTGTAGAATAACAGGTTTATAATGGTCAAAATAGAAATATGGACTTTATCTAAAAAATGCTATGCTTTTGTCTAGGAATATACGGTAGTTATAATCTTTGACACACATGGATAACAATTCAATAGGCTATTTATGTTGGAGAAAACACAAATTTTTAGAGCGACGGCAGCTTGACTGAGAATGAGAATAAAGAGTACTCCACCATGCATGATTCATTTAAAATACAACTTCAGGAGAGTACATGAGAAGGGAAATTACCTCTAATATGGTTAAAAGCTCTTGAAAGTTTTGTACTGAATAAATCAAGGGCTAAATCAGAGTGTGACTATTTTACCAGCCCAACAGTTGATCCTTTTATTTAATTTATTTGTCTGCATAAGAACTGAAAAAATATGTAATTATCGATGTTTAAAAATCGTAACTTTATCAAAAATATTACGATAACTGTTCTAAAATTTTATACCTTTTTATTGTGTTTGCTTCAGATTTTGACACCAGCATCCTGCCCATCTGTAAGGACTCTCTCGGCTGGATGTTCAACAAACTGGACATGAACTTTGACCTCCTGCTTGACCAGTCAGAGCTGAGTGCCATCTACTTGGACAAGTACGAGCTGTGCATGAAGCCTCTCTTCAACTCCTGCGACTCTTTCAAGGACGGAAAACTGTCCAACAACGAGTGGTGCTTCTGCTTTCAAAAACCCCAAGGTGAGAGGGGTCTGTGGCCTGTCACGCTGTAGAGATATACTGCGATAAAGGATAATATTGAAACTATTTTATGCCACTGACACACTGACAATAATGCAAGATAATCCCAGTAAAACATAGACAGTATCATTACAGGCCTGAGCTGATGCAATAATGAATTATAGAAGTTGCCTTTTTAAACCCTCTGCAGGTCAAGTCTTACCTTAATACAACTATAACAACAAAAATCTCTCCATTAAAGTAAATGTACACATACATGATAAATATTGAGTCTCAAAGTATATTGTTCAGCTGTCACTTACTGAACGGTAAGTCACTATAGTAATTATTGTTACAGACCTATTTGCGGCAAATACATAGTTTATACTGACCCCCACACATGCTGATTTTGGGTCATACTCATTTTTATATTTTAATTTAGTATGACATTCAGAGTACAACGGCACTTGGTGATTCAGTGTATTCTTTAAGTAACAGATGGCTGGAGATGTTGTTCATTATAACCAAAATTCACCATCATTAGGAAGCTGCTCAAACTCATTTTTGTTTATAATGATTTTGATGTTGCCAAAGAAGAGTTTTTTTGTTTTGTGTTTCCTGTTTAAAATCACAATGAACATATACAATGTTCATTAAAAAAAAAAGTTGTGGGTCCAAATATTGTTGCAATGTGGTTCCAGACCAGGCATGTCCGCAGTGTTGAAACTAACAGAAGTATCCATTTTGCTTTGACAGTCACCTGGGGAGAGAGTTAGATTTATATCCATGAGTATTTTTGCTAATGTCTTTTAAACTGCACCTTCCCAGACATCACAAATGTCTCACCTTCTCCATTAGCCCGTCTGGTTCAGATTGCACAGCTCTAATGTTGGTGTTAATGGCCTTACACAAGCAAAGTCAACATTTTAAGGAAATTATTGGAGCGAGGCATCGATTCAGAGCAGAGTCTAAAGGATATGCGGGCCATTATTAAGAATCAATAAAATGTAACTTGGGGTGAGAAGTTAAGGCAAACTGTTAATTGTCTTTTGTTCTTTCCTTAGGCTTGCCCTGCCAAACAGAGAAGAGCAAGATACAAAATCAGAGTCGAAAGAAAAGCCTCATAGGTCAGTATTGCAATAACCCACTTAACATTTAAAGAGCACTGTGCTGCAGCATTAAATAAACTACAAATGCACACACTAGAATACACACTGACATTTTGTTCCGGTGTCACAAGTCCCCATTGGGCGCATCGTTCTAAAACAGCTTGAAAAATGAGCTCTGCGCGGGTCAGATGAAGGTAGCCCTACATAGCCGCGTGCTAGCATTTGTGTTTGATATTGAAAGTGACTGCTTCCCTTTAAGCAGAATCTATTGTTGATGTCCTGCAACCTTCAAAGCTGTAACTGATTGTCTGTGTCCCTTGGTGAATACGCAATCACCTCCACCACCTCAGGACAAGCTTCTCTCAGCGCGATACAGAGCGCTCCTCCCTATCAGGGCATCCACTGACCTTTCCCTTTAGTGCGCTCATCCTTCTTGTTTACCACATGTCTATAACATGGCCACCGTCCTTTGTTCTCAAGCTAACAGTGGGACAGCCAATGACAATATGGCTTGTTGATTTGTTCATATCATTTGGTAAGGTGTGTGTGTAATAATTTTTATTATTTAATGCACTATGCAACTTTTCTTATGATGGATTCGCCACCTGTCTCCATAGATATAGCAAAGGAGAAATTTTATTCTTTCAGCTGGTTTTGCAGCACATCCAAGCTGCTTATTCAGACCTGCTAAGGATCCTACCTGGACAACTGAGGGATTTCACAAACTCCATAGATGTATTGTTTCTTTGCCTCAAATATTCAAATTTATCTTTGCTCGGAGAAACATGCATTCTCACAAATATGACCTTTACTTTGGACTAGTGGCATCACCTGCTTGTTTCCATGAAGATAGACCAGTTTAGACAAAGCAAAAACATCCTCATTAAGAAAAAATTACCTATTAACTTTAACACATTTTTAGCAAAATATTTTTTGTGAAACAGTCTTGCTACCACCACTACAGTTACAGATACTTCCTGTACTTCTCTGCTGTACTTTCTTCTATAGGCGCATACATTCCCCGCTGTACTGAGGAGGGTTACTTCAAGCCGACCCAATGTCACAGCAGCACCGGCCAGTGTTGGTGTGTGGACAAATACGGCAACGAGATCGCAGGATCCAGAAAACAAGGCAACCCCAACTGCGGTGAGCTCCTGCCCTCTCTCACATCAGACTAACGCGTTTGGTTTGCTGCATTTGCCCTTATTGGCTCCCATTTGTCCAGCTGTCTCTCAAAGTGAGAGTTAGATCCAGGAGGACTGCTGCATGTCTGCCTTCTCCTTTCTTCATGATACAACTCTCCATAGTTTCAGAGCTTTTCTTCTAATCCTCAGATTCTGTAACTTTTCTCTTCAGTGCAAGTCAGGAAATCCTCTGTTGGAATAATTTCCCCATGAAGTCAGTATAGAAGTCTGTATTTTAATCTGTTCCTTTGAAGTGTCAAAACTTCTATAGTAAAATATGTTTATTGAAACAAAAAAAAAACAAGCTTATTTGTACACTAGTTTCATTTTCTCCTTTAGCTGTGATCATCAACAGTTAAACCCAAACCGCATCAACATGGTAACTAAACTGAATCCGGAACTAAACCAAGACTAAACTATGGCTAGAACAGGACCCACCCAAGTCTACATTAGGACTGGACCCAAACCAGGACAAGTCTGCTGAATAGTGTAGTATTTTTGTGTAGAGAAACTTGAGGTTTTAAAATCATTAAAGATTCTCCTTGTGCCCTCAGTGTTCCATGTTTTAAATTCGGACTCAATTCTAACATTCTCTAGTGTGCTTTAGGCTTTCACCAGAAATAAGTAATTCTGATGGTGATTAAACTATGGGATTTTCAATTGGGTGTGTAAGACCCTATGAAACACCCTAGTTTGAATTTACTTTGTGCTATAAATACCAGCCCAACAAGCTCACGTCTTCTTGCTCCATACATCGTGCTCCTGTCTCATCAATGATCATTTACACTGTGATAAGACATAAGGCAGTGCGTGGATGTAGTGTGACTGATTTAGCTTCAGTCATACATCTGATCCTATCTGTGCATTCAGCTCAGGGAGGCCCGATAAACGGCATCTCCTCACAAGTCAAGTAGAGCCATTTGTCACAGCTGCCAGCCTGAGCAATGTCAAAAGAGCTCTCATCAGTTAAGAGCAGGAGGAGAGCTGCACCTACCACCAACCACACGGCTCTTGGGTTTGGTCCAGTACGGTACAATTGCCTAAAATACATGTGTAAGAGGTTCTGTGCACAATAGCGCCTGGCAACCTCTCCTCCCTGTTAGCATCATTACTTCCTGTCCAATTGTGTCTCTATGGGGCTTTGACTGAGTCGTACTGAAATGAAAAAAGATTTAAAGATATGGTATTGAAGAGTGAGCTGTGGTGGATGTCACTGACAGCATGTTAAAAAGTACACAAATAAAACAAATACTGCAGATGAGGACAATTAGGTGTTTAGAAAGAGAAATGCTCAATGCTAATGCTAATTATGAGGCATAATGAATCATTTCGTCATGTCTTCTGTGGAGAACACCATATAGCTCTCACCAAAAAAAAAATAATAATAAAAAAAATATGAAAACCAGCACTTCTAAATAGAGGCATGTCTTAATGAAGGGATGTCGGACCCCACCACTATTCTACCTATAAAAATAATCAGGTAGTCTTTATTTTAATCAATTTGAATTTGAATAAATTGTTTATTTAAAATTTTAGTAAAATTGACTGTGTTAGCATTGAGACACAGTGAGCTAGCTAGCGTGCTGCCGTGCACAGAGCCTATTATGTTGGTGTTCATGTTTGTGCAGCTCGGTTATAATCATCATGTCTGCAGGATCCTGTGTGATAATTATCGTGCTTTTTCCATCAATGAAATCCCACTTATCGATTGGCAGCAAAGTGCTCTATTGGCTTTTTGGTAATTGTTTGGAAATGTTGTCTTGCGTAATATGTGACGTTTGATGTGAATAATTACAAGCCTTTCCAAATCACTTAGATTCAAAATGTCAAAATAAAAATAACATTAGCAGTTTGTCATACTAAAAGGTGCACTATGTAACATTTCTGGTGCAAGGGTCCGCTATGTGCTTGTTTCCATGAATATACATTGTTTTTTTCTGGAATGTTCCAGAACATGGGATTAAATCAAGCTCAGTTACTTGTGCTTCAATGCTCCAAACTGCACTGAAAAATATGCATTTTTCTATGGGCTCGCTTCCCCACAGATCAGGCACCTGCTTGTATCCATGGCGATAAATACATTTTATGCTATGGGTACTGTGGAACACTTTAGGCAAAGCACTAACATCTCCATGGAGACAAGCAGACTACGGAAACGTTACACAATGCACCTTTAACATGCTACTTAAGTCTAGACCAGGGGTAGGCAAACTACGGCCCGGCGGCCATATGCGGCCCTTTAATCTCTTTAATCCGGCCCGCCGAACTTAAATAATAGTAATGATAATAATAATAGTTTTCAGTGTTTTAAAAGTCATTTCTATAAATAGTAAATACTGTGGGACTTGAAAGACAGATATTTTGTTGTTTGTAATGCTTTGTAATGATTTTCAGTTATGGGATATTTCAATAACATGGGATATGTAGAAAACATATCCCATGTTATTTTTTTCTCTTATGAGGTGGATTACCAAAAACTCCATCTGCTCCTGGTCTGGCCCTTCTGTCAAATTTTAGAACCCTTTATGGCCCATGAGTCAAAAAGTTTGCCCACCCCTGGTCCAGACAATGGGTCCATCTATTCAAAAATCAGGTACTCCTCAAGGACAAGTTAGAAACATTAATATGTCGTAATGAGCCTCATATTGTGAACCTGCAGTATTTTCAAAAATCTTAAAATATCATCTAAGACCCTCTGATTGAAAATTAAAACTCCTTTATTAGAAAAAGTGGGATGGTAAGAACATGGTATTCTTTGTGACCTCCATGCAGTTGCTGAGACATTTTGTACAATAGGTCTTAACTTTGCAGATTAATATGTTACAACATTTATTGAATTTGGACAGAAGAAATTATTAGTATCTTTATGTTTATGCTGAAGTTTAAATGTATGCAGCCAACAGAAACCAAAGTCCAGTATGAATGCATGTTTTTCAGAGTGCTTCAAGCAAAGATAAATGTGTCTAATTGTACGTTTAATGCCATACTCTGGAATAATTGAGGCAAAAAAATAACATAGCTATGAAGACAGGTGGCGAATTCCCCATAAGAAAAATTGCATAGTGTACCATTATATAATGAAAATAAATACATTATGTTCCAACGTTTATTGAATTTGGAAAGTAATAATTATTAGTATCTTTATGTTGAAGCTAAAGTTTACGCGACCAATGGAAAAACTTTAAAACATTTGTCAAAGAGCCAATAGAGCACTTTGCTGAGAATCGATGGGCTTGTGATTTCATTGTTGGAAAAAGGACAATAATTATCCAGAAAGAATCCTGCAGACATGCTGATTAACAAATGAAAGCACTCAGATTCTGCCTCACATGAATACCAACCGCGCCAGTAATTGCAGCTTCCAATATTGATGAAGCCTCTCTCCAGTGCCCCCACACAAACAGAGCAGGCCTTGTCTGTGGTTGCACTAACTAGCTCCTCTAGACTTTCCCTTTACACCTCTGCATAAGGCAAATGCACCAAACACAAGGTCATACTGTTTCTATCTATGCCACACCAACACCCACACACTTAGAAGTAAATGTGTAAACAAGCTGATTTCTGAGCTCCTGGAGTTCACCATAGTATTTCTTGGGCAATTAATCACTTTTAAACAGAAATCAAGATTCAGTCATTTCTAATTGTCAGTAATCACTAACTGACTTATTGACTCATTGGTTGACAGGTCCATAGCCAGTTCTTTTGTCCTTAAAAGTATGTGATTGGAGTAGAGTTCAGACTTAAAAATGCAATGGCTATGATTCAATGTTTGTATAGTTTATGTTAAAGGTCCTATATTATGCAAAATTTACTCTTTTGAGCTTTTAGCTATGTTATAATGTAATAATGACATACCTGGAGTTGTGTTTTGTTTCTCACACGTTTAAGTAATCCTGGATCAATACATTTCCAAAGCTCAAAATGCTCTTTTCCACCGTGTGATGTGATGTAGTGTATCAGGTTCACAGCTCTCTTTGTTCAGTAAATATTCCCAATTCCTGTACTGAAATTATCCAGATGATTCCAGTGAAGGTGCGTGGAGTTTAAAAACACAGTGGAGCACTTCCTGTATACGGCATGACATCACACGGTGGAAAACAGTGTTTTCTGTTTGAGAGAGCCTAATTATACAGGATTTGTGTGTTAAATATCTGTGAATGAAACAAAACACAACTCAAGGTATGTTTGTGATGAGGAAACAACATTATAATATAGATCAGAAAATACCATAATATGGGCCCTTTAAGGAAAGTATTATTGCAAGCCATCTCAGTTTGTTTTTTGCTAAAACAATATAAAATCCAGCCCATCTCAAACTCAAAAACAGCAGCTGGGATAACAACTTCCACTTTGAATATTGGTGATAAAACAATAAAACCAAATGTTGTTTGCTGAAGAGTTGGGTAAATTGGTAATTATTGTTCACTCTTAAAACGGAAATCATCTGTTGAAGTTTTGTGTTTGTTTGTTGAATTTCTAGACAAAGCTTTTAAGTAGCCTCAAATAACACGTCTTTGTTTCAGAAAGAAAATACAAATAAATCAAATAAACTTTGGGTGTTGTCATAGCAGCATTTTAAACATGAATAAGGATTTTATTTCTTCTTTTTTTTCTTACCCTCTGATTATTAAAGGTGACATTATGCAAAACCAACTTTTAGGAGTTTTTACTTTACTTTACTTAGTTTATTTATATATATATATATATATATATATATATATATATATATATATATATATATATATATATATATATATATATATATATATATATATATATATATAAAACTACGAAGAGGTGGGGCTTATCATTTCAGCCTTTTTAACAGAAAAGTCAGTGGTTCCATTTCATTTACTAAACCTTTTATGGTTTACAATGAACTAAATGTAAAATAATGGTCTACAGATGTTATATGTTTTACTATGTTTTAAGGGAAAAAGTACATATGTCTTCTTTGAGAGTAGTAAACAATAATCCCTTCCTAAAAGCAGCCTGTCTCTGCAGATGAGGACCAGGAGACATCAGGGGACTTTGGCAGTGGCGGCGCTGTCATTCTGCTGGACGACCAGGAAGAGGAGCACTCGCCGAGCGGCCGCAGTCGGCAGAAGAAGAGACGGGGCCGGATCCACCCTCGTGGCGCCGTGGAGGACGACGAGGACGGGGACGATGACAAAGAGGAAGAGATTGGGTACATTTGGTAGCTCCGCCCCCTTTTCTTCAACGCCATCAGCCGACCAGGAATCTCCCAAACGCAGCACAGATCTGAAGCCATTCCAGCGTGTCCTCCATTTTCCTTTGGCCCATCTCTTCACCAATCTTTCTGTCGCAAGCTTGTTTTGATCTCCGAACATTTGCAAACGTCACAAAAAAATCATAGATGTCATGAACAGTGGTAGAGAGTCAAGCTGTCCACTGTCAATGATCTCAAATCAACAAAGCCCCCAAATATCGGACCCTCTCTCACATCTCTTTCTTTCCCCTCCTCTCTGTCGGTCTACGTGGACATCTCAGAACATCGTGTGCTCCCAAACACATTAGCTGATGTACCAGATGTAAATATGTTCCTCCGGCTAAGGCAGATTGTGGACTCAAATTAACCCAATCTTCCTTTAGACTTTCTCGACCATCTTGTATGTTTTACAATATCTCTGCCACATCTGTCACATCATGGAGGATTGTAAATTATTTCTTTGTTGATCTTGAATGTCCCGGAAATGTCCAGGAAGCAATGAGATTAAAGCTGTAATTGTCGTTGTTGTTGCATGTATCTCATCGTGTATCTGTAAAAAGAGAGATTTACCTGGCCAGGTCTAGCTCTATGCATCTCCAACTGAAAGCGATGCCTAAAATGGCTGCTACGATACTTTGTTGCTATGTTGATGCTGTCTAGTGTCTTTTTCAGTTCTTCTCCCAATCTCAGGAGGTAGGAAGCGAGCAGAGCAATTTGTATAGTTGACTAGATATGAACTGTCTCTGCGTCTATGCCAGTTTTTCTTTTACTCAGTGGTCAGTGGGGCTGCCTGTGTATGGACAATAGAGAGAGGTGCTTCTGAGCTGGGAGGACGTATTTCAAACAGGGGGCAGAGAAGACTCGATTCTGCCTCCCTACATTGGATATGTTCAGTAATTTCAAAATATTCACCATGTCAACAAGTGAACTTTTATTTGTAAGTTTGAAATCTTAATTAAAGTGGCACTTGGGGTGTCTTTTGAACATTATAATTCTGTGTCTAGTCTTGTGCATAATATCTGAGTTTTATTCCAGACAATTAGTTTTGAACATAACACAGTTTTGCTGCCATTAAAGTCATTAGAGATCCTATATTATGCTATTTTCCTCATCAAAAACATACCTGGATTTGTATTTTGTTTCATTCACACTTGTTGAAAACACTTTATTTCATGTGTTTACTTAAAAACTACCGCTTCATGACATCACAAGGTGGAACAGAGCATTTTGAGCATTGGAGATGTAGACAGATGTAATAATAAAAGATTACTGAAATGTGTGAATGAAACAAAACACAACTCCAGGTATGTTTTTGATTAGGTAACAACATTATAATATGGCTAAAAGGTCACAAGAGTCAATTTTGCATGATATGATAAGACCTTTAAATCTACATATTAAAACATTTCTCAATAGAAAGTGAGAGGGATGACTAAGAGATTTGACAGTATTGTAATTTCCCATATATATATATTTTAGTCTTTAACTGTACAACTTCAGGCCCATTCTTTAGATTTAGGAATCACCGGGAGCTCATTGAAACCCCTTGCAGAAAGGCTCACCTAGTCTGGAAATTAAAATGCGTCACCATTTCTGACCTGGCTTCAAATCCAACAACCCTTTTATAGTTTTTACAGCCCTGGTTTTATTTCTCTGGCGCATCTATTTCACAGAGGTAGCACATTCGAAGCCCGTCTATCAGGTTTGACCTTTTCCAACCTTGAGAAAGCGTTTGGACACCAACATAAATGGAAGTGGCAGAAAACACTCAGAGCCACCGGAGTCCCATTCAAACGCACATAAAAGCTTAATGAGTGATTTCGTAATACCGCAAGTTAATGGAATAGTTGACCCTTTACCGTTGCTTGGATAGCCTGCTCAGCGATTCTTTGAAAACACATTTCACCAACAATCACTGGTAAAAAGGACAACCGAATCTTTTGTCTTCAAACCGCCCATTCAGCAGTTCACTGCTCCCGCACACTGGCAGATATAGAAGACAATGGACTTAAATTATGCTATGGGCGGCTGCAGAGGCTTTGAAATTACCCAATCACCCTTTCTTTTCCTTTTGGCCACAGCAGCATATCCAGACCTGTGGGTGTTCTGTAAAACATATTGGTTTTCCACCTCATTGCAAAGTGTTTATTTCGTGTCTTATATTCAAGGTGCACTATGTAACTTTTTTGGTAGCTGCTTGTCTCCATGGAGCTGTTTTTGCTTTGCCTGTAATGTTCCATAGTTTGAATTTGAACATATTTTTCTCTGTGTAAGAATGCCAAAAGAATAGATGTTTTTTTTTTTTTTTTTTTTTCTTTCTTTTTTTGTTTGTTTATATGTTTATTGCAATAAAGCCAATTACACCACGATACCACGGTCAGTGAGAAGTCCAACTAATAACTGACATACGTTAATACTGCATAACGCATTCCCTCAAAATATTTCCTCTGGAAGATCTTCTGCCACATTTGCTGCCATATATGGTGTAAAAAGTCTGTTGCATCTCAAATGTCCATAGCTAGCTCCTTTGCTATCTCCCTAGCTAGCCTTTTGCATGGTCTCCATGGATACGGGAGAAACAAACAGCTCATTTCACAAAATCCAACAGTCCCTTACTTGTGTCCTTGGAACTGCACATGCTGCACTTCTTTGTTGATTAAAATCCCATGTTATGATGTTAAAAACTGAAAGGTTTCAAAATCTGCTCAGTGTGTGAGTCAGGTAGCCACAAAAGCAGCCAACCACTCCATTGCCATGGAACCATGTAAAAAAAAAAAAAAACTTTCAGTTTGTAGATGTGTGTTATAAATACAAGTTATACATTTAATTTAATGCTGCACAGAGGAACTTTCCAGCTAAAGCACTATTGTCTCCATGGAGACAACCAGAAAAGCTTCACTGTGTCTCTTTAAAACAAAAGTATACAAAAGTATATATTTGCGTTTCAGCTTACCATCACACTCTTGCTTCTTTATTGGAGAGAAGAGGTAGCTTGTGTTATTTTACCTCCAGGAGCAAACTTCTTATGTTTCATTGCTCTATAATTCGTGTGTCTCTGTTATTGCCCACAGATGGGGCTCTTGTTAGTTGCATCTATCTACCAGGACAGCAGAGATTGGCTGCATATGGGGCACATGGGTGTTACTAAGTCATTGTACAGGAGGAAAAAGGCATGTTTGACTGTTTATACAAGCTGCCAGTGTTTTGAGAGGCTTGAAATTCGTTTATTAAAAGATACGGCGTGGGTAAATAGAACTTCCACATGTCTTATTTAATAATGTTTCAAAAGCAAATAGTTTATCTACAAAAGTTTTAGGCATATGCTGAAGCTTGTTTTCATCTTAAAGTGCTTTCATGAATACAAAATGGTAATAGTACCCAGCAAAAGTATAAGACTGAGAATAACATTATCATTATGGTCTGGTTACTGGGCATTTTAAAAAATCATTACCATTTAGAGATACAGACATAAGATAAAAACTGTTTTCACATTTTGTTTTTCAGTGTGAGGTATGTGAGTTGTTAATGCACTTACCATAAATCATAACCACATGTTTTCTACTCTGATATAAACAGGAATGTAGACTGTTGAAATGTTTAAGTACCTTTTTTCCCTTATACCAACCTACTTCATGTTTGTTGTGTATCTTTTAAGTATTTTATTTCATTATCACCTGTTACTATTTCACATTATAATACGTAGCCTTGAAAAGATCAAAGCCACAATAACAAGTCAAGAGTCTCAGCAAATAGGAATAACAAGATTCAAAACATATGTTCTCTTTAATCTGTTCATCAACTCTTAAAGGAGCACTGTGTAACTTTTATGGCTACTTTTCTCATCAAGATGTATTACATTGTCTGGAAGGTTCCACAGCATGGCATTAAACGTATTTATTTTGCATTTATGAAAAATAAATATGCATTCTTACTGTGGTGACATGCCTCTTCCCAAATCAGACCTGTAACTTGTGGCGTCATCTGCTTGACTCCATGGAGACAGAGAAGTTTAATGCCATACTGTGGAATTTTCTCGCAGTTACATTACCTGATCCACCATCTAAACATTTACATAGTGCACCTTTTATGCCACCATGTAATATGAAAACTCCAGCATTACAGCGCCTATACTTTTGCTTGCTGCAGAGTGCATGCATAGACCTATTTCAAGTTGAAGAGGTCGTCAGAGCGGTGGGTTATTCCAGGTAATTTCAGCAAGAACTTTCCTAACAATTTGCCACAACAACCACAGGGGGCGTGCAATTAGCTCTAGCTAGCAGAAAAACCCTCCTACAGCCACAGCGGAGAGCCTGAGGAGCAGATATGGGGGATCACCAGTCTCCTGCTCGCCTATGTAATTGGCTGACACATTGTAATAAGAGGGGATCATCTCTCTGTAATCTGTCACAGCCCACCACTTTGCTCTCTCTCTCCCTCACGCACGGCTGCTGTTGACATCTATCCAGTCTGTGTGGCATCTCACCATATCCTCCACCCCTCCAGTCATTTTGATTTTGTAGACTCCACTTGCTATACAACCGAAACATCTCTCGCTTTCCAAATCCGCGCATTTCAAGAGGTATCATGCGTTTGTGAATAGACTCCACCATTGGGTCCGTAGCGATAGGGCTAAATTGGAAGGTGTAGTTCTCTCTGTGAAATAAATTAAACAGGAAACAGACCACAAGCGCTTGCAGCAGCTGCGCTAAAGCAATTCTGATAAATTAAATTGAAACTTTCACTTGAGCAGTCAGCCGAGACCGGGCAGCATTAGGAGAAGTGTCACCAACAGCGGCAGAAGCAATAGATCGACCTTTTTAGGGTTTCCCTGCTTTCAAACACTGCATAGTCTACACCTGGTCTAACTAATGTGATACTGCCGATGTATATGTATGCTACTCAAAAATATCTCTTATCCTTTATACAATACAAATTACTTGAGTTTCTAAACAGTGTGTGACACCAGTGCCCCCTTGTGGTCACCTGACACCAAATTAAACAAATTGTAAAGACAAGAATTTATTAAGGAGGACCAACAATGCACACACAAAGTCTAGATTTATATTTAAAATTGCATAATAAGTGTGTTAAAGGTGCACTATGTAACTTTTGGGTTGGGTGTCAGTCACCTGCTCATTTATATACAATATGACATTAAACACCCCCAAAAATACGATTTCAGGTCTGGTCTGGTTTGATCTCCATGAAGATAGGAAGGCTTAAAGCCATACTATGAAAATCAATTACATCTCCATCTGGAAAAAAGAATTTGACGGACCCTCCACCAGAAAAGTTACACAATTCCCCTTTAATACAGACGTCACGGTTAGACAAAATACAAAATACACATTTAATACTCTCAGCGAGTTTCCAGCTGTTTCATGTATCAGAGGTTTGACATAGAGGACCTCTTTGTCTCGAGCTTTGGCACAGCTGTAGTAAAAGGCACTGGATTTGTATAATGAACTGTACTGCATACTGTTTGTTTCTTGGGACATTTATTGGCTTAAAGGTGCACTGCGTATCTTTTCTGGTGGAGAGTCTGCTATATGCTTGTCTCATGGTGATGTGTCATGTGTCATTGCTTTGCCTGGGATATTCCACAGTTTGGCAATAAACTAATATATCTTGTATTTATTCATTTACAGGTGTTTTTATTTCTCAAAACTACCACAAAGACATGCCTTCTTACTGTGAGTGGGCCCACTTCTTCACAGATCTGACTTATAACTTGGCCTAATGATGTGGTCTGCTTGTCTCCATGGAGATAGGTAAATTAAATGTTATACTGTAGAACATTCCAGGATAAAACAAAAACATCTACATGGAGTCAAGCAGGTGGTGGGCCCTCTACCAGAAAAGTTACATAGTGCACCTTTAATCTTTGTCATAAAATTTAAATCTTTAGTAGAAACTTGGCGTCCATCGGTTGGCATCAACAGTGGTTGCTCTGAGCTGCAGCGTCTAGATCCATGACTCGTGGGAGTCGCCCACTAGCTCCGCCCTCTAGGTACCCCGACTTCACACTGGATGCATCTGACAACCTTCTCTTGCTGCAGTTAAGGGCTGGAAATATTCAGATATTGTTTTTGTCTTATTTTGAAAGAATACAAAAAGACAGATGCACTGCTACATAGCTTGTGTTGCAAACCACCTGAAATGGCCAGTAGCATCTTGCGCCTGGCGCCAAACGTAAAGATACCCACTTCCTTCAGGTCTTCGTCGGACAGAGTGAGAAAGGTCTGGTAGTCAATCTGGAAGACACAAGCACAATGAGAAATATTTATAAGAAGATTTTCATGTTTTATTTACAATATTATTTCCCACCTTAAAGGGCCCATATTGAGCTATTTTCTGATCGATGTTATAATGTTGTTTCCTCATCAGAAACATGCCTGTTGTTTCATTCACACACGTTTAACACATAAACCCTGAATATTTACACCGAGTTCTTCTCTAAACCGGAAAACACTCTTGTTCTACCTTGTGATGTGTGTGTGACGCCAAGTGACATCAAGTAGTAATACAGGAAGAGCTCCATGGTGTTTTTAAACTGGATAATTTCACACCTGGAATTGCCAATCTCTACTAAACTAAAGGTAAAAGGAGCTGTTAACTTGAAAATTACTTCTTCTGGTTATGACAAGGTGGAACAGAGCATTTTGAGCTTTGGAGATGTAGACAGACTAATAAACACTCAAACGTGTGAATGAAACAAAACACAACTCAGGTATGTTTTTGATGAGGTTACAACATATAATATGGCTAAAAGCTCACAAGTGTCAATTTTGCGTAATATAGGACCTTTAACGAATGTCCACTCTGAAACATAATCTGACAATTCTATTCACTGACTGCAGAAGTAAAACACATAGAAGATCGTGACAAGTGTAAACAGTGTAACAGCGTAAACAGACAGCAAAGAGATTTGCTACGACTCAGGAGAGCTCATCACAAACCACATAGTGTTGAGATTTCTGAAAAGAAAATGAGAAATAAAGGACAACTAAATAAAGTCCACACCATAGACTGTAGGAAAAAATGGACATAGTGTACGGCCCCAGTCAAAAGAAGCTCTAATGAAGACTTTTATATCAGGGTGAATTTGGAGCTGAATTCCACATTAGGAATAGGACTTTATTAACGAACAAAATAGCAAAATGAAAACCCCAGGAGTATGTAGAGTCGGTCAATAAGAAAATTTTAAGACCAAAATGAGGAGGCTCACTGAGGCAGTTACAGCTAAATTTTCAATATAATGTGAATTGGAGACAGAGTCAATGGAGCTGGAATCGCCAACATGCTATGTCCATTTAGATTTACAGTCTATGCTCCACGCGTACTCCATAATTAGGGCATTGAAGAAAACATGATCATATATCAGATGCTCCATGAGTGTTTGATTTTACCTCCTGTTCTTCAAACACGTCGATGTATTTGAGCAGGCCCAGTTGGCTGAGCAGCGAGGGCAGGTCATCAGACATCTGGGGGGAGGGGCTTCTCTGGCTACAGGTCGATGCCCACCGTGAAGAACACACCCCCTCGAAGTAACTGCAGCTACAGGAGAACTGTCCGCTGCACACAGGGGGAGACAGACGAATGAGAGCCAGCCACAGTGATATCAAGCAGACAACACAAACACAACTAAAATGTATGGCTGTTTTAAAGGAAGTTTAGAGCCATCCCCTAATTTTACAATCTATCAAAAGTGTGTGTGTGTGTTTTTATTACTGAAAAACAACAGTCAAATTTAAAGATGAAATACCCAATATTTTCTAATAAATGTTTTTCCCCAATAAAATATATTATAAAAGCTGAATTTTGTTTTTATTTATTAAATATAGGACAGTTCCCATTAATCAGCGTGTGTTAGTACAGCATGTAAATGTGCCAGAGTTAGTCATGCATGCAGGTTAATTTTCATCCATAGTCCCATTGGCAGGGTGATGGTAAGACAAAAAATAGGACACAGGCATAAAACATTCAGTCCATCACACATGACAAAGACATTAAGATCAGTGAATATTAACTGTAGCCACATTAGTAAAATTAGAGCACGCTAAAAGCTCACACAGCACACAGTTAATTTTTTATCTTTTGCAAAGTTGTGATAAAGAGCCATGTGAGTCACTATATTTTAGTCTGGTTGGTTGTGTAAGGGTGGTTCTGTCTGCTTCTCTGCCTGAAAAAGCTGTTTTAAACTGTGCTGGTAGCCAAAAAATGCATACTAGCAATGTGCCAAAGGGTTTGTGAGAGCCAGGAACTGAATACTGACAGCTCAGGTAACTCAGGCACTACCTTAAACATAATTCAACCAATTTTTATATCTATCCTACTTGGACAACAGAGGAAATACACAGACAACTTTGTAGAATATATTTTACCCCCTTTTGATTCAAACCTATTATTTTTTACAGATTTTAAAACAGCAAAAATTTTAAAACAGCTTGAAACAAAGTAACACAAAACTGCTGCTCCAGCTCTAGATCTGACTTACAGGTTTTGTCGCTCCTTCCTCTGTTCCCGGAGGACGTGAATGCGGGGAAGGCAGAGGCGGATGGGAGGGTGGAGGGAGGAGAAGAGGGGGATGAAGAAGAGGAAGAAGAGCCCCTCCTCTCTCTCCAGTTCTCAGACTCACTGCCGTTGCACACTTTGTTCAAATGAGCCGCCCAAGGCTAGATAAAAGAACATTTAAAGTTTAATACGGGTTATTACAGTGGCATGAGAGCCTTGTAACTGTCCCCTCACATCTGCCACTTTAAAAGGGCACTCTCTAATATCACACTGTATGCTAAACCTTCACATAGTTTTCCTAACAGTAAAAGAGTGATCAAAAAGTTTTGTTTTATTAAAAGTAAAAAGGGGAAACAAATCACTGAATAATCACCAGACACTAAAAATACAGATGCTTAGTTTTAGTGGCCTTTACTTTGGTGTGATGTTGGAGGGGATATCTAAAAAAACTAAATGAACTTCAGTTAGTACCTTATAGTCCAGGTGTGGGCTATAATTTCTACGTTGTCATGTTTGTATTTTAGTTAATTAAATATTTGTTTTTGTAGTATTATTTTCTACTTTTAACGACTGAAAAAGGATCACTTATTTTCGTCCTCTTGGCTTGGAGATTTGAGCTTGAAACTAAACCAACCGCTTTTTCCTCAATGGTAAATCTATAAGGACCGGAGCCTGCCCATTAACAATGACCAGCACACGGCCCTTTTGCCTTTAAAGAAAATTGAAGTTACACTAATGTTTCCTGCTCTTATTAAGACCCATGCTTGTTTACATCTCCCACACTGTGCTGGACTTATAAAAGACTTCGCTTAGGTAAAACACAAATAGCTGTGTTGACCGCAGCGGTATCAGCCTCTAGGTAATTGAGCCTACAAATTGGCAGAGCTTACCACACAGTGAGATAAATGCTTCACACGGTTAGAGGGCAGTACCACTAAACGAGACTATGCTATTTGGCCACAACGGGGAGCAGATTAAAAAAACTATCCTGATACAAAGTTCAGTGGGCGATTTGAAGGTCTCAAAGCTGGTTTTAGCCTGATGGTGGTTGGTACCTGCTGGTTGGCGCTTAGGTAGGGTTTGTAGTTACGGCGACTGACGTTACGCAGCTCTTTGATGGCCTCGGCTGGCATCGACTTAGAGAAACCCAGACCACTCCACGTGTCAGTGGGAGTGCGCACTTCAGTCACCACAGGCTTCCTCTGCATGGCTGTAACACACAAGATACAAAACATGAGAAAAGGACCACTTGAAATGCAATGTACAAGTCTCAAAGATTGGGAGTGCTGCCAAATGTAAGTGATACTTTGTGGTGAGATCACGCTGGGGGGTTCTACATGTATCTTTATGGTGGAATGTTGAGCAGTTACTATGCTGGCACAATGCATATGTTAGTATACACTGTTTTAAATTGTCTGAAAACTCCAAAAAACAAAAAAACAAAATGGATTTAAAGCACACGTTTTCTGGAGCCTGTGATAAATACAAGGGTGTTTATTTGTATTGGTAGGTGGCAATAGGAAACATTTCCCTGACCCTGACTCTATCTTGCAATGTTGTAGCTCAAATCATACCACCCAAATCAGCACCAAAATGGCAAAACTAAATATACGCCTGAGTACATTACAACTCAAAGCATCAGAAAAATTTACTGCAGGTTTTTCTCATCCCCATGATGACCCGAAATATTTGCCCTTAAATAATGAATCACAAAGAGCTTTTCATCTCCTCTCTTGAGAACGCCACAGAAATAAACCTCAAACCGAACGACAAGCAAATCACTCCTCGTGCAATACAGATCAGAAAACATGTGTGAAAGTGCCATAAAAACAGCTCTAGACTCTAGATAGGGCTGCAGCATCACCGGAAGGCAGGCGATTGCTATACACTTGTGCTGTGAGTCCAATTCATACACGGGCATATGGGGGTCTTAATGGCTGTGAGGCAGATGGCCCATTCAAACTGCTAATTCATAATCTCATAAAACAACACTGGGGGAATATAGTAGCATTTGGCTGCAAATCATCCCGGTATCGCTCATTCAAAGTGATGAATGGGCCTACGTTGTGTATGTGTGCATAGTGCCTCTTGTGTGTATGTGTCTATGTGCAGAGAGCCAGAGTAACTGCCAGCGCTACTCTGTTATAACATTGGCACGGCCCGGACCATAACAGCCCACTTCATCAGTTGTTTTGGCAGAAATAAGTTCACGCTAAACCTCTTTTGTGAAATTACAGGTCTCTCAATCATCAGCATAATACCAAAACTAATTTGAGGATATTTTTGTGTTAATATTTTTGTGTGGATAAGCGCACTATCAGACTTTGGCCTGTTCAAATCCTGACTCAAAACATATCTATTCATACTGACTTTTAACACTCAATTTGTTTAATTTTATTGTTTAATGTTTTTGCATGTTTTTGTATTGTGTTGATTTTAATGTAAAGCACTTTGGTCACCTTGAGTGTTCTAAAGGGCTCTATAAATAAAGTGTGATTGACTGATTTATTGATTAATATGATCAAAGTGTGTGTTCTGTATTGTTTCCCAGATTTGTACTACTGCTTTTAGGTTTACTCCTACCAGCATTACCTCAATTTCTTTTACTACTTGTCTATCTATTGTTTATACATTTTTTGTTCTTAAAGGTGTAACTTTTCTGGAGGAGGGTCTGCCACCTGCTTGTCTCCATTTAGATCCAGTTTTTACTTGGTCTGGAATGTTTCAAATTATGGCATTAAACTCAATCTAGCATGCATTTATTCAATTACAGTTTTTTTCATTGCTCTAAAGACAATTCGGCTCTCCACAGATCTGACCTGTAACGTGACTTAATTGTAATGCCATACTGTGGACTGTATCAGGCAAAACAATAAAATCTCCATAGAGACAAAAAGGTGGTGAACCCTCCATGAGAAAAGTTACGTAGTGCAGTGTTTTTTTTTCTTTCTTCTTTTCTTTTCTTTTATCTTTTGACTTGTGCATATACATTTGTACAATTATGCCCTGTGTGACACCAGTCTCTTGCTATTTTTGCTACTTATTTTGAATATATTATTACCATTTATATTTTTGCTTTTTGTTATTTTATTATATTGTATACTGTGTGAGCTAATTTGTCCAAATAATTTCCCTTGTGATTTAATATAGTTTGTCTAAATCTATGTCTAAATATCAAATAGTATGTTAAAAATGTAGTCAGAGTTCAAAGTCAGAGTCAAAAGTGAGTGGATTGTGGGAGATGATGCACCTATACCGAATCAATGCAAACCACTGCTCACTAGAGCCTGAAGGAAATCCATTTTAAAGTTGTAGTCCCAGCAGTTGAATGGGCTTATGTTATCTCAGAGCTACTGAACACAAAACTCCAGAGGCCACAGTCCAATGTAGATAAAGTACTGATGTGATGCTGCCTCTGTCCTCGGGGTCCTCCAGCAGGAAATTGGCCTAATAAAGAAAGATAAAACATTTAGGACAACTCACCTCTGGTTGCAAGCAGCTTCTTCTTCTCATAGTCAAAGTCCTACACAGAGTAAACAGAAAGAGCACAGGTAAATAATGCATGAAAGTGTTTGGGGAGGAAGTGAAATAGCAATAAGGAGACTCAATGGTAGATCCACTTTCTTCTATTGCAACAAATATTAATATTCAATGCTTCCTCAAATGACAATGGCCAAAGGGAAGGTAACCATATACCAAAACAAACTTATAGCTGAGAGAATACCTGTTTTATATGCATCCTGACAATTAAGTTTTCCAAACTGGTTCTTAGGATTGGCCCTATCTCACTTACTTAGTGAGCCAGAACCATACGCTTTGAAAAAACGTTACAAAGATGAGTGGATCTGGAGCTGATTGACTTGATTGAGATTTGGATATTTTTGTTTTAATACAATAAATTTTGAGCAGTACAAGATTAAATAAATTACTTCTATGGCTAATTATTGGTTCATTCTGTTATTTATGTGGTGCATAAGCCTCTTAATGATACTATCTATTTCAAAATGTGTTCAATGGGATTATCCTGTATTATGGTTTTTGTGTCAGTGGCATGAAGTAGTTTCAGTATCAGTATTATTGTTAATCACAGTATATCTCTGTGGTAATATATATCTGAATCGAAAACAGTGGTCTTTTAATTCAGAGGTAACTGTATCAACTGATCAGTTGCCCTGGTGTACACTGACGAAAGGAAGGCTGACAATCTGCACCATCATGGGTGAAGTGTCTTGACAGAACTAGGCCTGAATAGGGATTAATCTACCAAACTTTGGATTGGGAGACCATCAGCCCTGTCACGATCACACATTTTGAAGTGTGATATATTGCTGAAGTAAATATAGATGATAATACTGAAACTATTTCATGCCACTGACACAATCACCCAAGCACAGATTTAAACCACAAAAAATATTCACAATATATTCTACGATAATGTTAAAAATCATGAGCTGCAACAAATAAATAGCAGAATGAAACACTTTAGATCTTAATTTGCATCTGTAATGAATCAAAAAGTTATTAATTCAGACTTTTACATCTTAAATCTTATTATATAGCCAAAAAATAACAAAAAATTCTCCAATAGTGCAAAAAAAATCTAATCACATGATAAATACTGACACAAAGAATATTGTTCCAACTACTACAATTACAACTACACTACAACTTCTCTCTGTCATTTTACTGCAGTAGCACAGTAAATAAAATACTACTACTAAAGGATAAAGATTCAATTGGATTTACAAACAAATGATAAATACTAGAATTCAAAACGCTTAGAAACTCCACATTTTATGAGCAATCTGAGTGCCTGCAGGTGAAACTGTATGAACCATTTCTTTTTTGTATCTTCTACAAATTCACTTTCAAGCTTACGCAATCAAAGGCTATCCCAACTTAAATATAAAACAAAAACTGCCAATCGCAGTCTATGAGATGTGACAGTTCTCTATTGAAAAGGTGAAAAGCTGATTTGTCTCACCTCAGATCTGAATGAGTCAGCATGGTCCACCCTCAGGCTGCTCCGCCGTCCTCCCTCCTCTGAGCTATTTAGTAATCTAGTGCAGCCAAGACAAAATTAGACTACAGTGTGCAAAGTGAAAAGTTTATCTTAGGTCATTCTTACCAGTACGCAACACGAATACAGAACCATAATGAACTGAACAAGAGCTACTAATTAATGTACATGACAGTTTGTTCTGTGTTTCAGGTCAGCGAGATAAGAAATAAAAGAGTCAGCAAACTATAACAGTGTGCGTTGTCTCTTTTTCAGTTATATACAAACAGATTTAGAACATGCAGGTGTATAGAAGTCTATGTATTAATCAAGTGATAAAGTCAAACTCAACAACTTAAAGGGACTGTATGTAGCCTGCACTTTTAATGTTTGAAAAAAGGTACAACGATCACAATTGAACTTGGGTTGCCAGTTCAGGCCGTGGAAGCTCACGTGAAAGCTTAGAAACTCCAGAATGCACTCACTGAGCTGTATGAGCATAGATTAATGACTGAGTGCAGGTACTGTCATTTAGGTAGTGAAGATTTACATCAGAGAGAGTCCTTTTAGGTTTAAATTAACAGGATTTCAGCATTGTAACTAGCAACTCAAATACAAGACTCAAGATTCTCCTTTTGGACGGGAACCAAACACCAAAAGAAGACATAAACAACTTGATTATCATGTCCAAAATTGTTGTAATTAAGAAATAGGTTGAGAATATGGGTCATGTTTTTGAAATTTAAAATCAAAATCTTATATATTGGCCCTTTAAAAGCTATGAAGAAAAAGCAATAAAAAATGGGCATAAAAGCAGGAGTGATTTTCTTGTGAGGGGCCATAAATCAGTGCTGTGATCCCATCTAACGCTAAATCAAGTTTAAGTGCTCTAAACGGTCACCTGTATGAGAGGGCCTGTCCCGTGGAATGGCGTCTTCCTCTACCATAAATCCTGTTGATATCCGGAGTCGAGAGGCTACCCCTTCGAGACAGAAAGTCCACTCTGTTTACGTCCCCTGATCTCTGTACCACTGTGTCACAAAGATCAGGGGACGTGTCTTTAGCATCTTCATCTTCTGACTGGCCAGACAGATCCTCATTTTCTAGAATCTGAAGAAAGGCAAAGCACTTAAGAGTTTTACTGTCATTTTACATTAGCTATCTATCACCAGTTATCTATGTAAGTTTTCTGGTGGGTTGTCAGCCACCTGCGATGAGATGTTATTGTTTTGCTTGGAAATTCTACAGTTCTTATCTTTCTCCATGGAGACAAACATGTGTCCCCACCAGGCCAAGATACAGGTCTGATCTGTGGAGATGCGACCCCACTTCCAGTGAGAATGTGTTTTTTTCAAGGTATTTTTGACACCTGTAATTGAATACATTTCTAAACTGGTAATCCCATTCTGATAAGCGTTATATTAAAGTCACATTAGTCAATTAAAGGTAACTGGTGGGCGTAATTTGACTGCATCTTTTCATTTCTCATAGTTTGTGCTCCATAAAAATACCTTTTCTAATGGACGGCTGTCTGTCCCCTTCAGTGTGGTCCTACTTTCATCAGAGGGAGGGCTGAGGCCTGGAGGTGGCGAGGGGCGGGGCTTTGCGCCCTCTGAAGATGTAGCAGGTGCATTGCCTGGACAAAAAGAAAAAGCACACAATTCTAATATAAAAACATTTATTCTTGTCTGTCCAGCAGGTAGTGTATGTGCAAAACTAGTCCACCAGCAGCTCATCTCCTTGAAGCTGTTATTGCTTTGCCCGAAAGTATAGCATTAAACTTAACTAACTCACATTTATTAAATAACAGGTGAATTTGTAGCCTTGGAAAACACAATCTTATTATGAGTGGCATCCCCTCTCCACATATTTCACCTGTACCTTGACCAAGGGCCTTACCTGCTGATAGAAAAGTTGAATGCCATACCGTGGAACATTTATGTAAAGCACTGTGCTGTAAGACTTTTTGTCTTATACCACTGTGCATGTAAGATTTTTAGGTGGATCTAAATTAGAATGTGCTTCAAGGATGTCTGAAGTAATGTATAAAAATTCGATTAAATGTATTTTTTTTTACTTCCTGGTATCAGAGCAGCAGTTGCCTCAAGGTTTCACAAAAACTGATAACACTCTGAAAATCAATTCATAAAACTGACAAAGAGATGAATAAATGTCCAACTAAAGATAGGTAATACTTTATTTTGTAGTATTTAATCAAATCTTTCTTCACGCCCTCACCCTGCTCAGAGATCCTCAGCTGTTGCAGTAACAAGTTGAGCCAGTAGTGGGTCATCCCGCTGCCAGCCGTTAAGGGGTCAAGGGTCACTTGGGTTTCTTTGGCAGTTTCACTAGAATCCAGACCGAGGAGGAGACAACGTGCCTCGTAAAGACAAGAAATATTCCTCTCCAAACCTTTTACTACCACCGACTGAGAAACACAAAATGAACAATGTTTAATGTCATAATAATAACTATTGGTACAAAATGGATTCAAACAACACATTTTCAGGAGCTTGTGATCAATACAAACATTCACGGTGTTGAATGTTCATGTTTCATTTTCAGCAAAAAAGGTGAGAGTGACAAACTGAAAGCTTGTGACTGTCTGTAATATAATGTGTGAGAGACTTGAAATCATCTCTCCTGTAGTAGTTCCAGCTAAGTCAGCTCTTTCTGATAATAAGGTAACAGAGCTTCTAGCAGAGTAGTGCTTTCAGTTAGCTTCACACCCCCAGGGAATATTGATGACATCAGCTGCAAAGTATCAGCTACAAAGATATAAAGGAACAGTATGTACTTTATATCATAGGGTTTGTGAAGAAATTTTAAGGTTTTTTGTAAAATTTTGAGAAATTGTGCTGCAATACATATCTTATATTTTATGTCAGATATTGGTCACCAGGTTCATGAACAACTCTTCAGCTGAATTATGAAAAATGATCAAAGAAAGATGATATATCGGTTTCAAAGCTGTCTGCATGGCAACGTAAACACAGAAGTCATGTCAAATCACACGCCAAGCACAGTTATTATAGACACATGCAGGAGCACATTGCATGGATAATTGATACCTTGCTGGTTTGTTTGACTTTGGGCTTGACACTAATGAAGACTCCCAGGTTTTGCATCATCTGAGCCAGTTTAGAGGGATCTGCATCTCCGTCCTCTCTCATGTCGAACATCAAACAGACAGGCAGGCAGTCCTGGCATTACCACACAAACACAGAGTCAATCAACGCTATGTGAAACTAATACAAATTCTTCAACCACAATATCATGATATCCACCTGTCTAATATCCAGCCTAAATCAAAAAGAATGTGAAGACCTATGTAATTAAAGGTATACTGCATAACGTTTCTGGTGGACTGGAGGCTATCTGCTTGTCTCCATGGAGATGTTATTTCTTGGGCAGGATTGTTTCTGCATCAAATGTATCGCTCTCCATGAAGACAGGCAGGTGGTACCAGAACACCTTGCCGGTCAGACCAACAGTAAGGATGTTTTCAAGGTACTTTTATTTCATTTACCTAATTAATAATTGACCTAGATTGACCTAGTGAAGTTGGTGTCAAAGCAGTTAACAATAGATCTCTGTTATCAATTACACAAAAGCCTGCCAAGAACTGAAGTCTTGAAAATGCTCTGACCCAGTCTTTACTTAAGTACAAGTACAAAAGAAAAAAACTTAGTAGAAAGAGTACAGCCACCCGCTATATATTTTGTGGTAAGTAACAGTACTTTTACTGTGAAAACTCCCTCAGTCATCAAGGTAGAATCCATGGAAAAGGAGAAATTAAATTTGTCAACTGAACAAAAGTACTTTTACTCTTAATAAGTATCATTTCTCAGCACTAACAGTCTTAATATATATCTATATCTATATCTATCTATATATATCCCAGTTAGTCTCGTACTCACCATGAGCTGTTGTCGTGCCAGGCATACCCCATCAGGATTACCCTGGATGAGCAGATTGGGGGGGCTCTGTGGAGCGCTCAGGTCCGGTAAAATTATTTGAGTTTGGGTTTGGTGCATGACACTGAGAAAATGAGCTCCATTCTGTCCCAACAGGAAGAGGTGCTGCTGCGAAGTCACATCCAGCTGTGTGCTCACAACCCCCGCCGTGACCTCTGACCCCAAGAGCTGCTCCATCAGTATACAGGTGGCTTTCTGATAGACAAGTGCAAATATGTTAAAAGTAGGGCAGGGCACTTTGCGTTAACTAATTAAGTCATTAACGCAGACAATTATTTTAACACCGTTAACGCAGTTTTTATTATTTATTTATTTATTCTATTGTAAAAGTCTGTTTCTCACTAGCTTTTATTTTGAAAAAGTCCACCGCGAGCGTTTCTTTAAGTTTGACGTCTTTTCTTTACACTTCTTTCACTTTTTTCTGACCACGTGAGATACAACGTGTCCGAGCCTCCGTGAGCCGCGGCTCCGACCGCGGGCTCCGGCTCTGGCCGGACCAGCCTTGCACTCTGAGCTGAGCTTGTTTCTTTAGTTCAGTGTTGAGTCACTGATTTACCCAGATACCATTGGAAGAAAAAATGTGATTGGTCCATTTCCATTCTATTATATTAACCCTTTGTTTCCCAAGAAATATCAGTCCAAGTTTATAACAATGATCTAGAAATTATTACTAGTGTAGTGTTCATTACTCACGGCAGAAAAAATATTCAATAAATATATTAGTAGTACAAAAGTCCATTCAATATTTTTTCTTGAGCCTTCAATGAATACCTTGAAGACTCTGAGGGTTCCCCTGTGAAAGAAATGCTGTTTGCACAACAAATGTTTGGCTCTTTCATTTACATTTCCAATAAAAGAGTGCTATACTCTACTTTTTAATTCATTAATTGGTTTTGTGTATAACATGCGATTAATCGCTCGAACTCATGCGATTAATCGCGATTTTAAAAAATTATTTTTGCCCAGCTCTAGTTAAAAGCATGCATTATAATATTGGGTTGACCATTTGGATTAATAAATAAACTTCTATTAGTGATATAAGTGAGTATTTAAAATATTGTGCAGTTAGGAAGTTATTTTCACATTTTAAAATGAACTTAAATGAACATTGCCACTGCAAATATTTTAAATGGTATTCTGGTAATTTTGCTCGTGTTCAGTAATGACTAACTTGACTTAAGCCTCACTGCTTCATTCAGTGGCTGCAATCAACCTCCCTCCAGCTCTTTCTACCTTGTGTTAGTCTGGTTCTTCAATAACACAATAATATTAAAAATGGTCTAAGTACTTATAACTCTTGTAATGACCTATTTTGTATGTTTATTAAGGGAAATTGGTTCAACACAGTTTTGGCCTCTAGTCCTCTAGAAACTGTATAAAGTATATATGGAAATACTGTATAATAATTTGAGTGTTTGATTCTTATCTGTAACAACGTAAACATCTGTAACGCTAGAACACATCTTATACTAACCTTGACATTTGCTGCGTTTCCCTGCAGCCCCCAGACAGTACAGCAGCTCCCACAGAAACCAGGCTGCGTCTGAGGCACTGCCCTAAAGCTCACGCTGACGCCGAGAGACTGCACCACCTCCTGGATGAGTGGGGAACCAACATCAGGCAACGGCTGCGGCACAACGCTTACGGGCATGTCAAAGGTCAAGGCCAGCGCCTGCAGATCCTGGGACAAGATTTACACACAGTTGGCAAAACAAGGTGAGGAGAGAAATCTGAAAATATGGCATGACAAAGAGTGGCTATTTGACAAATGCACCTGTCTATGGTTCTATCACAAACTATATTAATCATTGTATTGATCTGTGCCCTGACAGCATTGGTGAAATTGAGTTTTCAGGAGAAATATTTCTCTTTGAGTTGTGTTTGCGGAACTTATACACAGATCACTTACTCTAATCCTTTTTCTGGCTTCTTCCACCCCATCTATGGGTCCAGTGATCGACACCTGTAATAAAACAAAATAACCGAGGCTAAGTAGTAATTTGGCTTTCGCATGCTGGCTTCATACTGATAGTAATAGATATGGTTAAACCTGGTTGCTTTTCTCTCCAGATGCATTGTGCCGATTTGAATCAGGAAAGTGGATATGACAAGACGTGACCTCTATGACTTTTTTGATGTTTCCTCCTCCTTTCCCGATCACATGGGGGTGCTCGGTGTGTGCCACTTCCATCTTTAGAGTCACCCTGTTCACCTGGTTAGATTTGTATCATAATTTAAATGGCCCATATTATGCTATTTTCTAATGTATTTTATAATGTTGTTTCCTCATCAAAAACATACCTGGAGTTATATATTGTTTCAGTCCCACATGCTTAATTAACGCACACACATTTAAGGCTGTGCTTTTTCTCTCAAACAGAAAACATTTAGAGTTTGATGTAGAGATGTAGACAGCCTAATAAACCAGGATTATTCAAACATGTGTTAAAGAAATAAAACATGGTATGCTTTTGATGAGATAACAGATTTGTATAATGGCTTTAAACTCACAAAAGTCAATTTTGTGTAATATAGGACCTTCAACCCTTTCATAACAACTCTAATTGAGGGTGAATGTCAATTTGTTCGTGTAGTTGCAGTAAAGTTTGTTACATACATATACTGATTGTTTGTAATTAAGGTAGAAAGTTTTGCAGTAATTTAAAACAAGAAATACACATATAATCTATATAATTATAATTCCACAATATTTTTAAAGTATTCGCATAAGAACAAACCTTTGAACCTGCCAATGTTATTCTTGATTCAAACTCATTAACATCATTAACTTTACCATTTAAATGTAACTTGTTTATGCTATATGTTACTAGATTGCCTACAGCATATTGATACTTTACAGCGACATCACGTTGGGGGTGTTCAACATGCATCTCTATTGTTGTGTTGACACAATGCACACATTAGCAAACAGATTAAAAAATATATATTTTAAGATGGCCTGAAAACCTCAATAAAAAAATACAAACTGGATTTAAATAAAACATTTTCAGGATCCTGTGATCAATACAAGCGTTCATGGTCCTGTTTCGGTGCTTAATTTTCAAGGAAAAATTGAGAGCGACAAACTAAAAACCTGTTGGCTAATGCGAGCTAGTTTGTGACTGTAATTTTATGTGTGGGAGATTTATTTAACAGCACAAATCATCTCACATGGTGTAGCTCCAACCGAGTCACCTCTTTCTGGTCAGATTGTGTTAAAATAAATCTCAGAGTAACTAACTTGATTAACAGTGCTTTCAGTAAACTTCGCATCCCCAGGAAATGTTGCAAAGTATCAATACTATAAATGCACCCTTACCTTGGTTTCAAGGACATCCAAAATCATCTTCTTTGCTTGTAAAACATTGTCTCTTTTGCCCTCAACTTTCACATGTGGATCTAGTTTGAAACAAAACAGAGGTTTCACTTACTAAAGATGCCATTTTGTGTCAGAGTAAGCCCATTATTATATATACATCTGAAAAGCATTGAGGATCTGTGAGTGTTTCTGCACCTTTCTTTGACTTGGCACCGATCTTCAGCTTGGATGGCCATTTCACCTGCGTCTCTGTCTCTCGCATCACCTGGAGCAGCAAAGACAAAGGGTGAGAAAGAAGTTGCATTCAATCCACAATGCCTGTAATCAGTAGACTGGTAAAAATAGGGCGAGACAAGGAGCAGATCACAATACAAAGCTTGATTTGCATTTGAAATAGCCTCAATTATCACCCTCCATAAACCCACTAATCACAGGATACAGGCTATGGAAAATGCAGGGGAGTTTCAGGCTGATTTTGAAGCTACATTTAACTAGGGAACATTAGTGATGATGAGGTGGAAGAAAAGTGATTTGTCTTTTGTTCTGAGATGCTCGATTAAATATGATTTGGTGTGGGAGGAAAACTCACTCGCTCGAAAAACTCCTCTCCTGTCTCTACAATGTCCGTCTTTGGAGCTGAAAGACAAATGAGGCTTGTCAAGAAAAGAAATTATGAAGGTAAATAAATACTAAAATGCCATTAGTACTTAAAATACTAAGTTAATGGGTCCAGATGAGATGAAACAGGACAACAAGTTTCTTCTCATTCATTGCTTGTATTCTTGAAAACAAAACTTTTTGAGTTTCATGTTTTGGGGACACAGGTGGAGATTATGACCAGAAATATGGATTCCAGCTCAGACAAATGCATACTGTCATCCCCTTGGTATAAATGTGGTGCGTCTGATTGGTGGTCAGAGAAGCCAATGGCGCATATTGGCTGACAACTTTTTGCCCCACAGCAGCTGTGGCTACTGCTGTAGATTACTATGACAATAAACAAAGTATTAATAACAAAGCACAAAATGATTTAATTTTGAAAAATGTGTTTTAGAAGGATCTATTAGTTTATTAGCTGTATATTATGTGTACAGTATGTAGTATCTTTATAATCCCCAAAGTTTTTAAAACATTTAGCAGAATTGTTTTAAACTGCTTTTTTGGACTTAAAACAGCTGCATTATAGATATTGGTTAGCACATAACCGCGAAGTCTTTGAACTTGAAAGTCTTTGGTAAAAATGAATGGAACAGAAGCGAGCAGTTACCACTGTTGCCTTAAAATACTTAAATGCAAACACCTAGTTACTTTGTTTTCCCCCCTCCTGCAGTATTTGTCATTTTTTCCCCTATAGCCCACCCTCTCTTCCCTCTGGTGTTTAATATGAAGCCTGTGTACAAAGTCAACACTAAATGTTGACTGGCTGCAGTTTTTTCAAAGCATGAATAAGAGGCTGCCGGGAACACAAGACACTTTTAAAAGGCCATTGGAGTGTTGTGACATTTACAGGGGTGAGAGAGGAGCCCCCAAATACCCCTCTCCCTCCCCATCTCCATGGGTTACACGGGACAGTCCTGAAGAATGACCAGGACAACAGTCAGGGGTGGAGAACAGAGGGGTGGTGGTCTGGGCTGGGGATCACAAATAAGTCCGGAGACAGCTAATATCATCAATGGCATGTAGTGACGCGAAGACCTCCCACTCTTCAAACATTTAAAAACAGAAAATGGTGAATAAAATAAATAAACATCAAATGAAAACTGGGATTTGTATAAAGAGAAGATTATGTCATTGATAGGTGACAAGATAAGAACAGTGGTAAAAATACTGCTCCAAATCTGCACATAAGTAAATTACAGCTACTAGTATAGAGGCCATATATAGAAGAACATATATAGATAGAGATTGGGATTGTATTGTTGTCATACATCTTCAGTACATCTAATGTTAAACCAATGGAGAATTTAAGATTACACAGAACTTTAAATACTAATACTAAACTTTTAATACTAAGCATGTTTTTAAAGTACACTACACCACACAGTAGTGTGACAGAGCACTGTGGTTTGGAAATATTTTCATAAATATAAGTGATAGTGTCCCTGCACAAATAAATATATAGGTTTATATATGGGTTGTTATATAATATCCTACAGAATTTGTCACAAAGCAAACTGAAGTCTCTCTCAGTGGTACAGACAGCTGGAGTCAGCCCAGGGCATACATCACCGTAATAGAGTTTGAATGAAGTTTCAGTGATGCTGACAACAAGGAGATGGACAACCAGCTGCTCAGACAGACATTTGACAATAGTAGTTAAGTACCAAGATTTAAAAAGTAACAAGAAATACTTCTGCATTAGTACTGACTAAAATTACTTGATGAAAAATCCTGGTGTAGAAGTATTGTACAGCAGTTTAGTAAGTGCCGCAGACAGGGAATATTCTAGTAACATGCCAGTATACAACTAAATATGTTACCACCAAGCCTTGTTAAATTGAGATGGTTTTGTTGGGAAGGGTGTCTGACTTAGAACTGGTTGTTTGATAAATGACAGCACACTAGAACACGGATGTTGCAGTCCAAAAAATTAAAAAGGCTATACAAAATTCATCAAGCCTAAAATATCAAAAATATCAAAGTTTCGTTAACGATAAGACAAAGCAAGTAACTATTTTGTTCAAATATGAAAACACCAGATCAATTCAAGTTAATAAATTAAAAGTTTTTGGAGTAAATTATGTAATTACATGAACTACAATAAAAACTAATGACTTAAGTATGAGACCACAAGATGCTACTTACAATATATCATGTGCTCCAGCTTCTTCCTGTCAATCCTGAACCTCTCCTCCACCCACTCAAGGTCCCTGTCCTGTCCCGTGGTTGGGGTCCCGTTTGCATGCCCCTCTTCTTCCTCTTCTCTCTCCTTTGGGTCACCATTATGGTTCTCCATGGGCTCAGGGTCTGTCTCTGGTCCAGATCCGGGACTGGTTTCGGGCAGATCAGGTCCCACTGTGGAGGAGGAAGCAGCAGAGTTATCCTCAGAGGTGGTAGTAGTAGCAGCCATAGCAGGACAGATCCCTTGTCTGTGTTAAGGGTATGTGTGTGTCTGTGTGTGTGCATGCATGTGTGTGACCAAGGATACCAGCCAGAGCAGAAAAAGGGGAGAGCGGCAAGAGACCCCCCCTTTGACTTCTCTAAACCCGCCTCTTTGGCTTAATCAAGTACACAGATTCTACTTTCCGTGCAGGATTTCTTCCAAAGAGTAGAAGGATCTGAAAAGAGTGGTAGCAATTGTTTATTATTTTATATTTACTGCAGTAGATTTTTAGTCCTTTAAATATTTTTAATAGTAAGAATATGTTTTGGTGATTTGCATATTGTAAACAAAAAATGTGTTTCAAAAGATTTATGTTTTATTACACAAAATTGACTCAATAGCTTTTGGCCATGTTGCAATGTTACCTTTTCAAAAACATACCTGGAGTTGTGTGTTGTTTCATTCACACTCACAAATGATCAAATTCCTCTTTATTATTACTCTGTCTACATCTCCAAAGCTCAAAATGCTCTGTTCCACCTCGTGAAGTCATGAAGCTGTAGTTTTCAAATTACCTTTTACCTTTTGCTCAGTAGAGATTGGAAATTCCAAGGCTGAAATGTGAAGTGAAGGTGTATGGAGTTTAAAAACATAGTGGAGCACTTCCCATATTACCACAGGACATCACAAGGTGGAACAGAGTGTTTTATGTTTGAGAGATGAGCTCAGCCTAAATATGCCGGATTGGTGTGTTAAAACATATGTGTGAATGAAACAAAATATGACACCAGGTATGCTTGTGATGAGGAAACAACGTTATTACATAGATCTGAAAATAGCGCAATATGAGTCCTTTAATCTTTGTATCTTGTTTATTTCAGTGTCATATGTCATATATAATGACTGTTACTACTACTATAATGTCTATTGTATGTTTGTGTGGTTGTTAGTGTCTCATGATGCCCTTTGAGCCCTTTTTAACTACAAATGGCAAATAAGCTAACCTAATCTAATTTGATTCACACAAATATGAAAACTTCCCATTAAATAGAAAAGGCCTGAGACTGGAAAGACTGATAGTACACTTCACTTCACAGCATGGCACACCTCCTCACTACAGCTCTCTCAGCTAACCAAACACAACACGCACATCTGCACATACGTAAGAGCTCTGTTTGTCTGAATGGGTCCAACAAGACTTTAAATAACAGGGGTTAAAAGATGTCAGAGAGGGGTGCAGGAGAGGCAGAGGTGGTGGGGTCTATGGAGGGAACTTAACAATACAGTCAGTGTTGGGCAGCTGGACAGTTATTTGTTACTAGATTTGGGATGGGAATGTCCAGTAAGAAAATAGGTTGTGGTTGAAAAACATTACACACATCTACAGCTAAAACAGGTTTAATTTAAATTAAACATAATTTACTTGATTTACTAGTATACCTACTGTTCAAATAATTTTGAACAGCAGGTATACAACTGTTCAAAATGTATTAATGTCAATATTACGAATATTTTTTGGGGGATTTTTATTTTTTTATTTTTTTGTGCTGATTAAAAATAAAAATGTAAACTTTAATAGTAATCTTTAAAGTATAAAGAAATTAAGTGATATTTCTGCATGTCCTGGCCCTTCACTTTTACCTGATACTTAAACCTCAAGAAAGTTTTAAACATTTCTGTTGGATTGCCCAGTTTTATTGGAATACTCCAAAAATCTATTGAGATATTCATTTATCAATATTGAACACTCCTTTGTCTTACTAAGATGTACCACTGCAAATCCATCTGAGCCTATAACATAGGTAATAAATAAATAAATAGGGATGTTTTATATTTGAACTCAATTGTTTTCCATATTGCCCAGACACATTTGGCCTGGAGCTGTGCAGTAAATAGCTTTTTGGCAGAAAGGAAATCTCTTTCTCACTAAACTACTGCAGGCGAGACTTTTAGCCTGAGGAGGGACGTGGTTAGTGAGAAACATGATGTCTGTGTCACTATGGCAACTATTCAGAAAGTACTGTTCATGTTCTGGGATTTTTAAGATGATGTCAAAAACTCAGGTGGAGGGAAGATGCCCATACAAGATAATGGTTTATACATGATGTTTTGATGACCTTTTAATAAAAAATATATAATATTTTGTTTTTAAATTCCTAACCTACTCATCACTCCGAAAGCCATAAGAGCCAAAGAAAAAACAAAAATAAAGAGAGATAAAGTGAGTGTATGCCATATCTAGGGTGACCAGATTTTCAAAATAAAAAACTGGAACACCCCTCGGTCCATTCATGACTAACATGTGAAGGGAATTTTTATTCACCTTGTTTTGGGATGGCAGTTTTCCAATGAATGAATCAACCAAATCAACACAACGCATTGCAGGAAAGAAAAGGAAAAACATTGAGAATACATTTTGGCTTAGAGATTTTACATTTAGAATCAGACAAAGAATGCAATTTACAATAATCAGGCACCATTATGCACCTACATAAATGCCCTATCATTTGTAAATTATGGGTTAAACCGGTCCATTTCTTGCTTAGGAAAGTTCTAATACAGGTAAAACTAAAGCTATCGTTACCGTGCTAGATAAATACTAAAAAAAAAAAAAAAAAAAAAACAGTTTCAAATGCTCATCTCACGTTAGATTTTTTTTATTTTTATTTTTTTATTTATTTTTACCTTACCTTTTGTTGTCGTGCTCAATTTTGTGTTAAATTTCTCAAAGTTGACTCAATTATTCAGTTATTAATCCGTTTACACACCACTGGAGTGCGCTGTTGTGAGAATCTTTCTAGTTGCGTCCCTCGAGTCACTTCCGGGTTGATCTTTCCTTAAAGTCTCGTGACGGTTTTTATTTACGTCCAGTTTGGCCGCTCGAGGAAGAATGCCTAAAACTGCATCTGTGATCGTTAAATTTGGCTAAACACGGCCATGAGTGAAAATGAAGAGGACCTTTCTTTCGTAACTGGCTGCGGTTAAAGCCCAAAGACGAACTATGTGGCGAGTACAAGGATTGGTTGGACGAGGTGAGACCAATGACATTGACACTGAGTAAATATTAACCCGTACCCTATTACTCAGTGAATTAATGTTTATTTGACTTCATAGCTTTATTTGAAGATTACTAACGAAGATAAACCTACGGAAAACTGAAAAATCTCTGCTAATACAGTGAAAGAAAGTGTACTACAGAGACACCGGTTTATTTTTGGTTAAGGGACCACATTTCACAGTCCATGCTTTGCTTTCTTCTGTATTTGTCCTCCAGTATGGGGATTTCAGAATAAATGCTCTCAAAGTTTTAAATTAGCCTATATATGTCTAATGACTAATCATAATATCCTATAGACATGACATTGTGTTTTAGACTTGTGATTTTGTGATGATGGTACTTGATTGGTTCCTTCTTCAACATAGCCATTTAAGTGGTATTTATTGAAATTATCCAAACTGCTTTTGTTTGCAGTTTTACACCGTTATCACGCCAATGGCCCCCTGCGTCTCCCCCAGAACCATCATGTGGAGGATGAAGTTATCAACACCACGTCTCTCCTCTCCAACTCCCGTCACTCCTCGGACTGCAGGTACTGTTCTCTGTCATGTCTTATAGTATTTTCTCATCATATCTTATAGTAAAGACATGCACTGGATAAGCACATATTTTGAGGTTTATAACTGGACAGGATTACCATGTTATGCTGGAATCGTGCACTGTCCACAGCTGAGAGCGATTTGTTTCATAGCACAGTATACACTGTTAAGGGGAGAATCTCCTTACATTATGCCTGGGGATTATTATATTTATGTTTAATTTATTTTTTTTCAGCTCCCAGAGAGAAGAGACTGAAGAGAGGAGGAGGAAGCAGAGGACTTCAAACTTCACATTTACAGATCTCCCACGATACACGGCACTGGATGCAGTGGGATGGGTAAGGATGGGTCGACATCATCATCATCAGGCATTATATATTCATACATTATACATTAATACAGTTCAAGTTATCAGTGGTGCATCTCTCAAATCATGCTATAGTAAACCTTTAATGCCAGTGTGTATTGTCCACAGGGGGCAGCAGCAGTCTTGTTCATGCAAGTGTGCAGGAGGATCCATTCTCAGTTCTCCTCTGGGTCTGAACCCCGTCCCGCCACAGGAGGCCGCAATGAGCCCTCCAGTCTGCGCAAATGTGGCTACCGCATCCTGCTGGAAATTTGTAAGACATTTATATATATATATTTTATCTATCTGTCTGTCTATCTCTCTTTTTCTATCTACATCTCTCTCTCTCTCTCTCTCTCTCTCTCTCTCTCTCTCTCTCTCTCTCTCTCTCTCTCTCTCTCTCTCTCTCTCTCTCTCTCTCTCTCTCTCTCTCTCTCTCTCTCTCTCTCTCTCTCTCTCTCTCTCTCTCTCTCTCTCTCTCTCTCTCTCTCTCTCTCTCTCTCTCTCTCTCTCTCTCTCTCTCTCTCTCTCTCTCTCTCTCTCTCTCTCTCTCTCTCTCTCTCTCTCTAAAATATATGTGAGCAAGAGATATATTAAGATATAAAGAGATATAGGTATAGAATATAGAGTATTTGATTTAACATATATTTGTCTTTTGGTTTTCTAGTGTCGAGGCGTGATGTCTTGCCCAAAGGAAGAAATGTTTGGTGTTTGGAGGGGGTTCCAGAAAAACGGACTCAAGATCAGAGCAGCACCAGCATCAGCAGCAGTGAAGCCAGCCAGCTCAGTGAAATTCAAGAAGACCAGTTATCTTCTGGAAGTCCTTTTCCCGACCACCAGAGGGCCTTCTTAGACTATGATCCATCTTCATTCGGTTTGTGTTTCCCTCCTTTTTGAAGATGTAAGTTACTTGTGAGAAATATCTCAAGTTTATCAAAGTGTTTTTACTCCACAGAGGATTCATTGCTTTCTTCTTCTCTGGAAAGTTTATCTAAACCCCAAAAGACCGAAACTGTAGATATCAGTGGCCAAGTAAGAGCAACAAACAACCATAATATGTTGTTATCACTGGATCAGTCTATTTATAGTTAGGCAATTTTTGTATTATTCCTTATTTTCAGAATGTTTTATCAAAAGATGAAAAGCTAGAGGAAGCAGCTCAAAACCTCAGACATGTGGGAGACAACAGTGTTCCCGTTATACTCAACATAATTGGTAAGACAACAAAATAGGATTAACAGTAACTGCAAAATGCATTCCCATTATTATATTTTTTCTCTCTGTTCTTTTTTAAGGTTTACAAAACGCTGTGCACAGTGACAATTATGAGGAGGCATTTTACTGCTTTTTGGCCGCAGCCCAACTTGGTTACACTAAAGCCCAGTTTAACACCGGTGTTTGTTATGAAAAAGGTCGAGGAGTCAACCAGGACATGGAGCAAGTGAGGTTCAGTCAGATCAGAAATGTATAACTTAATGAATATGTTTTTATTTATCTTGACATAATTTTCCTTGAAGGCAAAGCATTATTATGGACAAGCAGCAGCAAAAGGCCATGCCCAGGCTCAGTACCGATATGCTAAGTTACTTTTGACCAGTAGGGGGCAGCTCAGTGAGGACAAACTGAAGACTGCAACAGATCTTCTGGAGGAGGCTTCTGCTGCTGGACTAACCAAGGTCAAAACTGGTTAAGCTGAACATGTGTAACATTATTTTCATTTGTAGGCCTGTATTCAAACATTCACTTATCACTACTATGTTTGAAATCCTGCACATTAATGTAGAAATCTGTTGTTCACATCTATAAAAACTTATATTTCAGGAATGCATCTTTTCTTTCTCAATTTGTCTCTTACCCTCAGGCTCAGGTCTGTCTCGCCTCGGTTTATTCTCGAAAGCCTCAAAAGGATGGGAACAAGTCTGTGCAGTACCTGAAGATGGCAGCAGAGAGTGGTGTGAGTGCTTATAGATCTTTCTAGAGTTTAATCAGTGACAAAAACTGTAACTTGTGTCACCTGCTTATTTCCATGGAGCTACCATAGTGTGGAATTTTTAATACAAAACAATAACATCTTCATGGAGACAATCAGGTGATGGATCTAGGTCTGTCACAATATTTACTATTTCAACTTACTTTCAATCGATGATCAAAAGAACAATTAATTTTAGTGCTCAATATTTATTGTGGGGACTTTTTGTTTGTGCAAGTGGGGACCTTTTCTGTTATTTTTCTGCACTACAATAATATTTAAGCTGTAGAAGGCTGAATAAATGACTTATAAAATTTGTTGTCGGACCTAGATGGAACTTCTACCAGAAAAGTCACATAGATTTAATATAACTTTTGCAGTTCACTCATGTGTTTTTAATGTCTTTGTGATGTGTTGTTTATTTTCACATCTTTATTCAAAGTATCTTGCTTAATAATGAATTTTCTCCATCTGTGCAGGACAACACTGCCCTGTTCTTTCTGGGTCAGTGCTATGAAAAAGGCCTTGGGGTCCCACAGAGTCTAAGTAAAGCATTTGATTACTACAGACAAGCTGCGAAAGCGGGCAACAAGCAGGCAAAGGGCTTTCTGGAGTCGCACAGTAACAAAGACACGAACAGTAAGCCCACATGCTCTTATGGAATGACTGGCATCTGCCTCAGTCCTTTGTTGGCTTTAGCGCTGCATGTGATTATAATGAGACAATATTGCAGTGATAATGTATGTAAAGCTGTGTATTAGCAGCAATTGTTCAGAGATCAGCAGTGACTGGTCATATATTTCCACTCATGTTATTTAGTAAAGTAATAAATTAGTACATATTATTTATATTTAGCACTGTGCTTTTTGGTGCTTTACATTGTTTCAAAAAACAGAATTAAAATGATAGTTGGTATAGTACTTTATATCTGATAATAATAACTAGAAAAGCACTCAGAGAGCGCAGACCTCCGCCAAGGACTAATCCTATTTTTTATATAAATTGCGATAAAATCAGTCTTCTGGATCAGATCCGGATCAGCCTTTGGAATATGAAAGAGGATCCCATTGTCCATCCCTGAGTCAAATTTCATGGGGTTTGGTCAGTAATTAACCGAGATATTGAGAAACAAAATTTTTGGCCCCATTTACCACAATGTTAACTAAAATTTCAAAGTGATCCAGAATCCAGGATTTCTTCCGGATCACCCCCAAAATGAAATCAGTTCTTCCTTTTCACATTTCCAACAAATCCTGAAAATTTCATCAAAATCGGTCCATAACTTTTTGAGGGTTAAGGTTAGACAGACAGACAAACAAACAAACAAACAAACAAACAGACAAACGCCGGCAAAAACATAACCTCCTTGGCGGAGGTAATTATATACTATATGTGTCTGATAAAATATGCTTTTAACAAGTGGAGTAAGCTTTTGCAAAGGGCACACCTTCTTTTAAAATTGCCTTATCTCAGTACTTACTTGAGTAACTACCCTTGTTTTGAAAATTTGAAGTAACAATTCTTTTAGTTTATTACTCTTTCCTAATACATATTTTCTCTTCTCCAGCTCAAGATGTCGTCTTGCGCTCTATTCATTCAGTTCCCCGTTTTCAACGTCCACTTTCATCTTTGGGCATTACTACCACCCTCTCCTCCAGTCGTACCCCCCTCCCCTCTACCCTCATACCCCACTCCTGGAGCACTGGCAGCCTGTGTGTCCCTCCTGCTTTGCCCTCTCTGCCTTTTCACCTCCATCCACAGAGTAACACGGGAAACACCTGTAAATGGACCCTGGGCATTGGATAGTCAGCAGACGCACAGGTCAAGCAGGTCAAAGAATGTATTTGGTTGGGTGAGTGCTTATGTATGATAGAGGAACAATGTGATAGATATTATTGATGATTGTGTTGTTTTGTACTGGTTATGTTTGAACAAAAAATACTGTGTTATATAAAAGTAAAAGTTTAAAAGTTTCTCATTTTTAATACAGTTTTGTTGTATGTATAATGATGCCTAAAACCTGTGCACTGCACAAAGCTATTTTGCTGGAGCCAAATCATACCCTAAAAAGTGCATTATGATGGACAAGTGGGTCTGTGTATACACAAATTAATTGTGATGTTAAACGCACAAATAAAACTTTTACATTTGCCTTGATGATCAGTGTTTTTTCTTTTGATTGTTTTGTTCTTTTGGAATGATGTTATTTTATTCATGAATAACACAGGGTAGACTGTAGCTGGGCCTAATTTAAAATAAAATTAAACCTTGAGCATCTTCCAATTTGGACAAAAAGAAGTCAAGGTATACAATGAATCACTCAATTTTTTCAGTGTCCTCCCTGACGTAACATTGCGATGATGTGTGATTTCATTACCGGAGTCGCAGAATGAACCGGTAAATTTTTATTGTGGATGCGTCTCCTCCGCGTGAGGTGCGTCCTGCGTCCGCCGCTCTGATTGGGCGCTGAGGTGCGAGCTCCACAGCGCCACGCCGCTACACGGGATCCTCTGGCGCAGAGAGAGTGCGCAGCTTAGCCGCTACCTACCGAGCACGCAGGAGCCGGGCTGGGAGGGCAGATGTGATGTGATCCCGATAAGAGTGGCCGGTTGGAGCTATACGGGCGGGCTGGCACCTTAAAAGCGGCTGTCGCCTCACCCCTTCACACTCGCTTGTCGTCGTGGGCTTGGAGCAACACGCAGAAGTCCCGTGGCAAAGCGGTGAGTTGATGTAAATACTGTAGATGCGCTCGACGGGATGTGCCCCCTCCCAGTGCTAGGGAAAGGTATGGATGCTCAAGATTGACTGCGTGTATTCGTGTATCGACAGTTTAGCCACTGCAACCTCGGCATCTCCACCTAAACAAGACTGTGGTAATGGCAGATGATCCATAGGTGTTTGTGAGATGTCATTGAGCGAGTTTACGAGAAAAGGGAAGCTGCGAAACGAGGGGCATAGATACTCCACCCATGACATCACTGACTTTTTCAAGTTCATTTTGTCCCCAGCTCGTGCCCCCAACTGTTGCATCTCAATATTGGGCTGTATAGAGAGACTATGGGGAAGCTGCTATTATAGGGAGACGCCTGAAGTGACTCAGAAATATGCTTACTTTATATTGGTGTGGTCAGTGTCTGTCCAATGATGTCATTCTCTGATTTAAAGCTATTAGCCTAATTATTAGAACAGCTGTCCTTTGCTGAAGAGTGGAATCACTGACAGTAAGCAATATAATAATATATAAAAAAGAGCCTATATATTATCTTAAAACAGAGAGATGTTGATTGTTTGTTTTTGTTTTATGACAACGTTGAACCTAATTAATAAGCCACAAAGTCATTCATTATTACAGCAAATGTAATGAATTGTATGTTAACAAGGATAATAACATGATTGATTTATAAAGGTTACTGTTGTTTTCTAGATAAGTTAACCAGCTTAGTCAATATGTCTTGTTGCCTACTGTAATTTTATTGAATCACATTGAGAGCATCGATGGATTGTGCTCCTATGTTGACTGGCCGTGCCCACTGTCCTGCAAACTGCTGTGTCATTCTGTGCTTTCTCCCTCTAATAACCAGCCTCATGTTCCCCACTTCCTCTTACAGCAGGACCACTTTGTTTAATGTCGACGCCGGCGGTAATTGTCCGTGTAAAAGATGCTGTTTACTTCTTCACCCGTGGAGAGTCAGGGCACTTTAAGTATTGTGAATTGTCAGCCCTATATTTTGGCTTGTGTTAGCTGTCACATGAGCGAACAGTACTGAGCTAAAAGATTTTAACAGTTGAGAATTGCACAAAAAGATGCTTTCAGAATAACCTTGGCCAAGGCAATAGCATTATCTTGCAATGATTTTTCTCTAGATCTTCTGTAGGAGGACACACATTTTTGAATAATAAAAACCTTTTATTTCAGTTTACTTATTTATGCATTTATTTATTTTTTGTGGGTGAAATTAGTTGGTCCATATTTCAAAATGTTACACTCAGATGCCCTGGCTGCACAAGCATAATTTTATGTTTTAATCAGTTATTACATTTTTATACATGCATACACCTCACTTGCATCTCTCCATGGAGATATTACCTGGAATGTTCCTCAGTATTGCATTACTGTTATATATCTCCACTAAGACAGCAGGTGATACCACAGGGCCAGGTTATTTGTCTGATCTGTGAAGAGGCTTATATTAAGAAAGCATGTTATTGAGTAAATACAACTGGATATGTTTAATGCCATGGAGAAAAGTAGGTGGTGGACCCACCACCAGAAAAGTTACTCAATTCAGCTTTAAAGCCTATATTTTAATAAAACTTTTGCAGTTCATTTCATTTCACCCAGTAAGTTGAGAGAGCACAATATAGGGAATCTCTTATTGTGAATATTGGGTTCCCCATTAATTCATTATTTGATATTTTCATACTTAAACTCTCTTGTTTACCTTTAGTTCCTGCTCAATACAAGGGAACATGGAACCAGAACATAGCAATGTACCAATCGCTTCTAGGTCCAAAAAGCTTCAGAAATATGTATTAGTAAAACAATACAACAGTCTGCTACTTAAGACAATAACAGTACAGTGATATGCAGTGTGTGGCTGGTTCAGCTCAGCGCAGGTGGGCTGTACCTGTTGACTCCAAGCGCTTATGCTCTGTCAGCACTGTAACAGCGTGTTGTTCTTGGCTGGCTCAGTGACAGTGGACAACAACACAACTAACCTCCCAGGACGAGTGAGGGGCAGAGGGACAGGGGGGAGATAGGGGTCCTGTATGGACAAAGTACTCAACCTACAGCGCTGTCTTTTCCCAAGATCTTATCATGTTTAAAATCTGCTGCACTCGTGTTTTCCATGTTTCTGAGAAAGATGCCTGTGATGACTGCAGCATTGTGCGTGCCGTAAAAGGATGTTGACACACAAACCTTGCGTGTCTGGATGGAGCCTAGTTTTATTACTCAGGTGTGGAGTTTAATTAAAACAATAAATAACAAGGTTGCAAAGGTAACAAGACAACATCCTTTTCCATGAGGCCTAAACACAGAGAGACAATGCACAGCACTGCTTCTCTAACTGTGGTGCAAAAGCAAAATCTCTTCTTATGGTTTCTGCTGTTGTGATTTGAAATACCACAATTGAGTCCTGATTTTGATCTTATGAGTCTACATTAGAGTTAGAATAAGGATTTGCATTATATGTCCATATTTTTAAACTAAAATACTGCTATAAAAAGAAAAGGTGTGCTCTGTTGTCCCCATAGCAATTTGTCCTTTGCTTTTGACCCATCCTTCAATGCTGCTGGGACATCCTGTCAGGAGCATTCGGTGCCATAGCATCAGGGGACTCCAGATTTTGAGATCAGCTTCATCAAAACCTATTTTATAAAAATATACAATATCTGGTGCAGAAATATAAGGCTGACTTCAGCTTCAAAATAAGAGCTCTGACTCATTCCTAATGTAATGCAAATGCAGCCATAGTTTATGACCAGTGGAGTGCGTCTGATCAACAGTGACGTTTCATGTTTAAACATGGGTATCGGAAACAGGGCAATGTTATTGTCATTTGCAGACAGAATTTGAATCAATGATGTGATATCTTATGCAGAGTGGAGGAAACAATACTGAAGGATTGTGTTTGTGCTAGCAGTTATCATGCTCCAGAGGCAAAGCTTTTAAAAACACACTAACCCAGTGACCATTAGCCAGCACTGAGATGTGTGGGCAGAGGAAATGCACCACCAGAAGAGACTTAGGGTATTCAGTCTGACTCAGGGAAAATGCAGACATAATACAGTGAGAGCGCTTTCTCCAATTATGTTCAGTAGTTGGTAACAAGATCTTAGCCTGGTATATAACTGAACCATGGAGCTGCAGAATATCTGACACATGCCATTTTAAAATGAAATTATCTCTTCTCATGAAATGACAACTGGTCTGCAATGATTCAGAATAATCATGAGTTATTTACTAATGATGTAATTCTGTGTGTAAAATCTGTTCTAAATTGCAATAACTTAACTGGAACTAGTTCAAAAAGGTTCTGTGAAATTTCTATAATGTATTGTTATCATCTGAAGAATAGTGCAGGTATTCAGTTATGTTCTTAAAAGTATAGAGAGTACATTTGCACTCTAGATTTCTATTAATAAAATATCTATTGACTGTATCTTTGGACAGATTTCTATGCATATAGGTCCGTCATGATAATCAGTATACTGATTTATCGTTTAATATATGAAAGATGGAGCTATATTTTTGAGGCTCAGTATTTGTCGTGTGTACATTTCTTTGCAATAGTGTGGAGATTTTTGCTAATCTGTATGCAAAAAGGTAAATGAGCTCTAGAGAGTACAATAAATAACTTATATGGGTAATTACTGGTTAATTCTGCTATTTACTTTTTAGTTATACTTTAAAAATGGGCTTATGGGATAATCTTGCTTCATGTCAGTGGGATAAAGTAGTTTCAATATTATCGTTTATTGCAATATTTCTATGTAGCAATATATTGTGCTGCAAAAAATTGTATTTTGTCAGGCCTATATGCATATTGTATTGTAAAATGTTAAATTATGTTTGTATATGTCCTAAATCTTTTATCTTGTTTTCCCCTCAGATTATCTTGGCCAGTTTATCATCATGACATCAGTACAGACTCCTCCCCTCTCTCGCTCTGGCTCCTCCCCCTCAAACGTGGGCCTGACCAATCGGACAGGACCCTCAGTGACCCCACCCACCTCCCTTAGCCTGCGCTCCTCCTACAATCAGCTGCTGGGGCGTGACGTCATCAAGGAGTCCCCCAGCATGGAGACCGGAAGTTCGGCTACACTTCCAAAAATACGGCAAAGATACGCCATGACCAGTGTTCGGAGCGCCATGGGAATTAGCGACAACCTGGGATCATCCAAAAACCAGAGGACTCGAGGTCTCCCTACGAAGTCCTCCTCTAGCTCCGCCCTCTACTCTTCATCAGCGTCCTCCACAGTGTTCAATACTACTAACCCCAAATTAGTTAAGAATGGCGCTAACATGCAACGCCGTGCTGAAAGCCAACAAATGGAGTTGTCCAGAGCGACCACAGAAAGCAAAATCCACAATGACCTCCTCAATAACGCTAGCTCTGATTGGCTAGATAATTCACAGCCTTTTCGTAGAAGGACCAAAAGCTTCTTGGGGTATCACGCAAAGACTTGGGATATGGACAGCAATTGTGACCACAAAGAAGAAAAAGAGGAGGAAGAGGAGGAGGTGGAGAATAAACAGTTATCACCTGAGAAAGAGCAAGCTAGTCCCATTAAGGAATGTGAGATTCAGAAAGAAGAGAAAGATAACAATAAAGATGACTGCCAGGAGGAAAAAGATATTGTAGAACCAATAGCTGAAGAAGAAAGCGAATCAACAACGCCAACACCAAGACAATCAGTTTTACCTGTGGTGGTTGAAGCCCCTCTCTCCTGCACTTCATCCAGCAGTAACAGTCCAGAGTGGGTCCCTGACAACCAGAATCTTCTCCAAAATCAGGCTCCAGTCAACCTTCATGAAGACATCCTAACCCAGGGTCCTCGCAGTCCTGCCAAGCCCCCTCGCACCTCCTCTCCCCGGGTTATCAAAGTGGAGCTGCACCCTAACAATGAGAACCAGTTCCAGCAGCAGTATCCACCAACATCATCCCCGAAACTGCACTGGTCTGGAGAGAAGAGTACCCCAACGAGAAGCAGAGCACCATCAGTCCCCCTAGATCCTGAATCAGAGACAGGGCTGCCCAGAGTGAGTTTGAGAATGGACCTAACTCCAGACAGTCCCTCTGAAGATGAGGATTCAAGTTGGACTACACTGTCTCAAGAAACGCCCTCTCCACAAACTCCTCATGAGTCAGGTTAGTAATGCACAGCGATGCACATCAAGTTTGAATAATTTTGCCTGGGCGATGTATACAACACAAAAACAAGTTGTGATCTACTGTATGACAGTTTGCCAATTTGTAGAGATTGTTATGTAGTTTCAAGGTTTCTCTGTTTAAAGATCCTGTATTATGCAAAATTGACTCTTGTGAGCTTTAAGCCATGTTAAAAAGCTGGAGTTGTGTTATGTTTCGTTCACACATTTCAGTAATCCAATATCATTAGGCTGTCTGCACCTCAAAGCTCAAAATGCACTGTTCCAAATGATTCTAGTGAAAGTGTATGGAGTTTAAAAACACAGTGGAGCACTTCCTGTATTACCACATGACATCCCAAGTTGGAACAGTGTTTTCTGTTTGAGAAGAACTCTCATCTAAAAATGCAGTGATCATGTGAATGAAACAAAACAACCTTCAAGTATGTTTCCGATGAGGAAACAGCATTATAACAGAAAATAGCACAATATGTTCCCTTTAATGTAGCTCCATGCTCATATACAAACTACTTTTTCCCACCAACTCTTCTTTTTGCTGTAGCCTGAGTGAGACCAGCAGATTTAGCTAATTTAATTCAATGTTTTTTAGAGCCTAAAATTTCAACAGCATTCGACACAGGGCTTCACAAAATTATTGTTTTAATGGATGGTTAAAATCAAGTTAAAAACCAAGACATGAAATTCAATGATCAGTAAAAGTAGATTGACCAACCAATCACAGTGAAGAATGAACTCACAGAAGAAAGGAAAATTCTTTTTAAGTGTTCAAAAGTCAAATTTGGACCTAGACTAGAACAAAAAAAATAAATAAGTAAATAAATAAATAAATACATAATAATAATAATAATAATAATAATAATAATAATAATATACCATATCACCAAACTCCTATTCATTCCTCTGTCTTGACTATTGGCACAAATCTGTAATTACTTTTGATAAGATGTTTTTTTTATAGGCCTAAATAAACCAATCATGCTTTGATTTAATTGTACAGGTAATAACATAATAATTAATCTATCTGTATTGTCAAAATTATAAGAATTGTGTTTGTGTCTTTTAATCTTCTTTTTGAGGAGTATTAGCATATCTGTTTCATCCTTTGATCATGCTTACACTCATCCCTCATCCTGCTTCCTGCTCCCTCCTACAGACAGTCTGATGTGGAAATTTACCAATGTCTTCTCTCCTTTATAACAAACAGGATCCTCACTTTAGCACTACTGCAGACACGTTTAGGGCCCCGGTGAGAGACCTGGTGGTGCAGAGAATGATCAGGATGGGTGAAGGGCAGGAGACTGCAGAGCGTGAAAAGAGCAATGAACAAATACAGAGCGGTTTTTAAGAGGCTATGAATACCAAGGACGCATGGAAAAAGTGATATTTGCGAAAGAATATAAAAGAGGAGGGAGCAGACAACAGACAGGGCCCCTAGGGGAAAACAAACATTTTGTGAGGTAGACTGTGAGGTTTTAATTATTTGATTTAGGATTGATCTTTAAATATTATACATGTTAATAGTGGATTTAATGTTTCATTTATTTGAACACACACTTAGTAAGCATGAGTTTATATTTACAGTTTAAATGTGTGAAGGACTATTGAAATTAATTCATACATTTTTGGTCTTTGCAAAAAGTTGGTATAGAATGCCTTCTGTACTGATGAAGTCATAAATTTTTTATACAGGGAATAAATTATTCTGTAGTTTGTATTAATGAGAGTTTGCTCCTGGTATGACAGAGAAGCCTAGTTGGCACATAGAGCCCTATGAAGCTTGGACAGTCTGAGCTTTTGTATCTGTTATTTTTTTGTTAAAATGTTGTATACATTATTGTTGCAGATGTATGGAGTGAAGGGGACCTGCCTCCGGGCTGGAGGGAGATCTCGGACTCATCAGAGGTCTATTTCTGGCACGTCCCCACCGGTACCACTCAATACCACAGACCTGTTGCCGCTAGCAACCAGAACTCGTCTCCGAACAATGGTCCAGACAGTGAGCCACAACAAGAAACACAGGACTCACTCAAACCACCCAACGAGGTAAAGTGTGAAATTCAAGTGTTCATCGAGCAGAGATAGATTTTTAATAGAGCTCGGGATCAAACATCTTAAACAGATGTTCAGTGAAAATGTGAAAAACACTGTAAGCACAAAAATACATTTTTTTTGGGAAGTTGAAGAAGGCATACTGTGCTTTTGTCTGCTATATTCTTATAGTTTATGAAACCCAAGGGTCATTATGTTATAATTTAGATATTTTAAATGTGGTGCCCAATGGGAGCTGACGGCATAAATATTATCACAACAAAGAGTCCTTGAATTCCATGAAAAGAGAAAATATTTAATTGCATCTTGATGAGCAAATGTTAATTAGTAGTTTGCTTGTTCTTTACAGTTCATCAACCACTTTGGCTTTGACACCTGTTTCTCTAATAACTAGCTAACACACTGAGGCCAGAAAATTGAACGTTGTTGTTAATAACCTTTCATTTGTACCCTCCCCAGCGCCCTAGCAGCCTGATCTCTGACAGTTCCGTGGAGCCTGGCCCTCTCCCTCTGGCTCCTCCCCTGACTCCACCTCCTCCACCCCCATGAATGATGTCATCTGCTCTGGACCAGACCTAAACCTCACCACCTGCACAGTCAATGTATGACACACACCTATTACCCACATTGTCGTAACAATCTAAAATGGGGTTGGCAATTTTTTCTTAAGCTGTGATTGCATTTAGAAAGGTTTTTATTAGAATCACTTGCCTTTCATATTTGTTAAGGTTTTTTTTATACTCAACATCATGTAAATGGAATACACTAGTAGAGATCAATCAACCTTCATCCAAAAGGAACCAAGCTGACATAATCACAAGGGGAATTTTTAGACTAATTTGTGAGAGTTAAATGACTACTGCACTGTTACTTTTACTAATGTAAAATTCATAAATGGGCCAAGACAGACACCCATAGTGCCCATCCAAAAGATCATTATCTCTTTAAATAACTACTGGTTGTTATGTGTCATACAATCACCATTTACATCTCTCACTTAAATACAAAAAATAATTTATTTTTCAAAGCTGTCCACCAGTTTTATAATGATATCTCTTATTTCTATTAATCAGGAGCTGAAAGACTATCCAGTGTATCCAGACCCAAGCCTCAAAGCATTTGAAGGGGCCACTCTACGCTACGCTTCACTCAAACTCAAGTAATAAATTATGTTTTATCACTTATTTACAAACTTATATTAAAGGTACACTATGTAACTTTGCTGGTGGAAGAACCGCCATCTACTTTTGCTGCTTGTTGTTTGTTGTTTGTTTCCATGGAGATGGCATTGCTCTATCTAGAATCTTTCACTAAATGGCATTAAGTGTATCTGACATTTATTCATTTATAGGTGTTATTGCTTAACAAATCCTTCAATAACAAACATTGTTACGGTGGCCAGGGTCAACTCTTCACAAAGCTAAACTATAACTGTCTCAATAGGGGTAGATAAGTTTAATGCCATACTGTGGATCATTCTAGGCAAAGCAATAACCTCTCCGTGAAGACAAGAAGTTATACCAGAGAAGTTCCATAGCATCCCTTTATTGCTAATATGTGAGTAATTATAGCAAATATATGTGCCTCTGTAGCCCTCCAGCTCAACTAGAGACTGTGGATCTTGACAGCACCTATTCAGACTCAGAGGCTATGGTAAGTTGTTTTTTGTGTATTTTCAGTCTATTCAACATTGTGCATTACTACCACTCTATCCTATGAACCGAATAACTTTCAACAAATTATAATTTCCCTAAGGGAAAGAGAAACAGCAGGCAAGGCTTTTATTTAGGATGACGTAATGAACCCCAGTAATGGCTTTCTCTCTATCTGTGCATGAAGGAGCGACACCCAGAGGCAAGTTTGAGAACTGGTGGTGTGTGCAGAGGATTTACTGCCCTCTTGTGGTTAAAAACATACTGTTAGCATATCAAACAGCTGATTCAGAGCAGCTTAAATACATAAAAAAAACTTAAAAAAAACTGGACAACAAAGCTTTATGGTTGGATTATTAGAGAACCCAGATTATGTCATTTTTGTTTCCATTATTACTAATTTCTATTTATTATTATGATTATTATTATTATTATTATTATTATTATTATTATTTTAAAAAAATTAACTGTCCTATTAAAGCTGCCATTTGTAAGTGTATTTTATTTTGTAATAGCTTGTGAACAGAACTGAGTAGCTGTTGTTTCAGTAGAAGGATGTTGATATTACAATATGTTTACAGGTTTCAGGTCTCTATTCATGGAACATTTTGAAGATTTGACATTTCAGGATATAATGTTATTGTGTTTGAATTGTTAATTGCCACAACAGTGCAAATGTAATATAATTATTCTCTAAAACCAATGGATAGTCTGTAACACATGTAAAGTTCCTGCATATAATCATATTGAACTGAAGCCTGACTTTGTATCCTATTGGCCTTGAAAATGGACCAAACCCATGGGGGAAATGAGAATTCAGAAACGCTAAACTAGTTTATATTGAAATAGATATGAGTGCAGAAGGGAGAGTGCGATTATGTGTTTGAATGTACGCTGGCTCGCCTCCACTGCACGACTTGAGAGATGTATCCCGTGGTTAGTCTCAGTAGGAGGAGCTCCTCGTTGTGAAGAGGAAATAGACGGATAAAGAGGCGGGAGCGTCAGTACACACAGAATACACACAGGCCCTTTCCTATTTAATACTCTGTCCTCCTCTGCCCTGCTTCTGTCTGCACTCATCTGATGGCTCCATACAAAATGTGCTGTTCTTGTCACTCTCAGTTACACTGTGACATACACATATATATATGTGTGTGTGTGTTTTGTATGATAAAATATATATTCATGAGTGTAGAAATTATATACAGAGGTGGGTTGTTGTGACATTTACTTCAGTGTCTTAATAATTTAAATCAACTTCTAAGTGTAATTTGCTCCAAAATAAATCTTGAGTAATAATATTGTAATTTATGTCAGATTTGAATAGTCTACATCTAGTGAGAAACTTGGAACTTAATTTGGTTATTTAAATGTGTAGATAAGATATGAATGTATTTTGTGGAGGCATTTGTTCTGATAATCTGCATTTCCACTTATTTTATTCAGGGTATATTTACTTTTTCTTACAACCTATAAAACTTAGTTTTTAATTATTTTTACTGCTACATGAGTAAATTTGTTGTGATGTTAAGATAGTCAGCCATTTACTTCTTGTCTCCTCCTCTGTGGTCCTCTCCAGTCATTCCCCGTGCGGTCTCTGGGCTGGGTGGAGATGTCAGAGCAGGACTTGTGCGAGGGGCGGAGCAGTGTGGCCGTGCACCACTGTATCAGACAGCTGTCCTACTGCAGACGGGACATACGCGACTCTGCTGGGGTCTGGGGAGAGGTCAGTTTCATCAGAGAGTCTTTGTCATTTAAAAATAGAAGTCCCACATAGACATGAGATTGGAGAATAAATCATAAGAAGTCAAGGAAGGATACAAACAGCACTACATACTCATATGGTGACACTAATAGCCTGTCTCATTTAATTTAGCTTTACAATATATACAATTTTGATCAGATTGCGGTTACTATTATCTCAAAGGGCCCATCTTATGCTATTTTCGGATCTATGTTATAATGTTGTTTCCTAATCAAAAACATACCCAGAGCTGTGTTTTGTTTCATTCACACATGTTTAACACACAAATCCTGCATATTTAGGCTGAGTTCTTCTCTCAAATGAAACCAGTCCTCCTTGTAATGTCATGTGGTAATACAGGAAGTGCTTCATTGTGTTTCTAAAAGTATGTGGATGATTTCAGCCTTGGAATTGCCAATCTCTACAAAAGGTAAAAGGTAGCTGTAAACTTGAAAACTATGCTTCATGACATCACAAAGTGGAACAAAGCATTTTGAGCTAACTTAAAAGTGTGAATGAAACAAAACACACTCCACACACACACTTGTAACATTCCAACATGGCATAAAGCTCACAAGTGACAATTATGCGTAATATAGGACCTTTAATACTACTCTGAAGGGCTACCTAACTGTTTTACAAAATATAGATTTTTACTTGAAATTAAAAACAATATATGTAAAAGCATAATCATGACATTAAATTTAAATGATTTGTTATCTGATATTTAATTAATTAATATTTTTGTTTGCTCACAGGGTAAAGGAATGCTGCTGGTGCTTCAGGACCGGATGTTGACCTTAGTTGACCCCGACGACCGCAGTCTGCTTCACTCTCAGCCAATCAGCAGCATTCGTGTGTGGGGCGTGGGGCGGGACCATGACAGGTATTTACACCTATTTTTTAAATCTTTATTATTAATTATTCATTTATTTTGTGTTTTGGATTTTATTTATTTCTTACAGCATAATTAACAGTTCAAGTAACGACCTCACTATATAGACTAATGTTAAATGCAATACATACAGCAGTACCACTCTTTGCTGATTCAGGAGTTTGCCAAAGATTAGAAGCTGACAACAGACTCATTATAAAGTAATGGGTATTTGCATAAAGACCATAATTATGCCCAATGCTGTTCCTTTTCCATCTCCGCTGGGGGCCTGAGGGGCTGCCACTCATTTGGCTCTGTCCCAGTCTCTTAACCTTCTCACTTTGGCGCTGACAGTTTGCTGAGGCTAGCATTAGCATAACATGTGGGGAGGGCAGTGCTAAACGTTCATTGATACGAGCCCCTCAAGGTTCCCATTAACCCATGAAACATTTACACTTCCTGAAACATACAATTCCAGCATGACGGCTAATGCATTAAACATATATTGTAATAGTGCAATACTTCATTCATACATATATGAGGTGGGTAAGGATTCTTGTCATAATATTGTTTGTTTGCTTGTTTATTTATTTCATATATAATATATATATCACATATATATACAGTAATACACAAATGTCACAATGAATGTTGACTTGTATTTAAAGGTGCATTGTGTAACTTTTCTGATGGATGGTCCGTCACCTACTTTTCTCCATGGAGATGTTATTGCTTTGTCTGGAATGTTTTTCAGTGTGAGATTAAACCTTTTTTTGTAATGGACATCAAACCAGGTCAAATTACTGGTCAGATCTGTGAAGAGGCAACCCCGCTCACAGTCACATTTCTATATTTGGGCAATTAAACCACCTGTAATTGAATACATGTAAGATAGATCTGTTTAATGCCATATTGTGAAACATTTGAACCAGAGCAATGACATATCCATAGAAACAGGCTGCTGATGGACCCCCAACCGAAAAGTTACATACTGCACCTTTAAGTAAATACAAAATATCTGTGGGGCAAAATTCTGAAAGCATGTTACACTTTACTGTAAACTTCAAATACAAGCACCATGAGTTTATTTGTCAGGGCTGTTGGTACATTATTCATTCATACATGTGCTGTTTCTTATTTAAAAATGGGCCAGTCTTTTCCCATGACAGGAGATGTCTCATGGCGCTGGCAGCATGGCTTTATTGATTGACATTTAAACATGATGTTCAAATGTGTTACTAATGATGTCTTAGTTGGATGCGCTTTTGAACATATGAGTAGTTTTCTGATGGATGAGTGTGTAATTAAGTCCATTTATCATTCAAAATCTGACATCATTTCATTTTTGCTGTTGTGGGTTTCCCTGTAAAGGCGCTCTGCTCTTTTGAATTTCAGAGAACAATTTCCTATTTGAAAGTGCACTGTGTAACTTTTCTGATGGAGGGTCCAGCACCTGCTTGTCTCCATGGAGATTTTACTGTTTGGCCTTGATTATTCCATAGTATGAAAATAAACTTGGTAATGACAAGTTAATGGCCAGATCTATGGAGAAGCAAACCTGCACATGGTAACAGCTATAAAACACCTGCAGTTGAGCGAATGCAAGGGAACTATGTTTAATGTCCTACAATGGAACAGACCAGGCAAAGAAATAATGTCTCCATGGAGAAAAGCAGGTAGTGGATCCTCCACTTTAAAAGTTCGACAGTGCACCAGTTCCTATTTTCAAGCTTAATTTGCGGTTATTGTAGCTTTTTCCTAAACTGGCTCATGTCAGATTGATAAGTGTATCACTCTGAACTGAGTTCTGAGTCTTGTGAACTCACAAATATCACGAGAATCCCTCTTGCAGCACAATCTTATCTTTTTCCTACATTTGGAAGTTTATATGACCCAAATCTGACCCCAATCTTCCCATTGACTGTAGACATGACTGTTACAAATCTAAATTGCTCATAATAATGTGAGAGTGGTTTCACTGCCCACCGTAGACCTTAGCTAATTTCAGTTAACACATCTTTGGGAGGGCATCTTTTTTCACATTGAAATCACCTGAACCAGAGCTGACAAATGGGTTAATGATTTAGCGATAATTTAAAAAGGAGGAAATTTGCAAATAGCAGCTTCAATATGTCTCCAGTACACTGTGCCCATTTTCTGTGGAATAGGGAAATTGTGTTGAAATTTTCATGAGATTGGATTTACAGTGGGTATAATGTAACAGTCCACAGACTCGAGTGATTGTGAAATTAACTTTAAAATGTTAGATTTCCCTCCATGTGGCCAGGCTTTTTATTTTATCATCTTGTTATTTTTTCATGTGACTCCTATCCCGCCTTTCTTTCTACTTTTTCTCTTTTAACCATGGGATTTTGTATTCCATGTGTTGCCTTGTCGACCTCCCACCCATGTCTTTTCCAGTATTTCTTCAGCAGTAATCTCAACACAACACCAGCACTGTGTATGTAAATTAGGAATATTGTTTTTTTTTTTTGGTTTTGTGTCTCTGAGGATTGACAACTTTCATTGTTTTATTTTTTTTGTGGAAAAAAAGATGGTGCAAGGGTAACTCAATCTCTGGTTCTTTCTCTAAAGCACATCTACTGTACCATTCACTCTAAAAAGTGCACAAAAGCTAAAGTTTCTTGTTTTATAATGTATTGTTTTAAATTTTCAGTGTCTATTATGCCTTAATTACGTCAAATAATTTCAGTTATAGGCTATACTTTGGTAAAAAGTTGTGCTGGGCTACTGATACTTTGCAGTGACATCATACTGGGGGGCCTCTACATGTATGTGTATATAGTAGAATGTTCAGCCATCACCATGGAAACACATAGATCTCAGTACACACGGAGAGAAAAATGCCTACCTATTTGAATAATTTGTCTAATAAACAATCAGGTATAATTATTTTATGCTTAAGTAATCTTGCTCTACAATAATATTTTTTTTCAGTTCTGATTCTGATTGAAAACTTAGTCCATCTTTACATCTATGAAGAATTTTTTAATCTGGATTACCCACCACCAGAGGGCACTGTGCTCTAATGTCGTTTGCACTGATTGTAGATAGTGTATTTCAGTTTATTTCCTGGTGTCTGTGGGAATGCCTCTTCAAACACATGGAAGTCTGTATAATTTGTCCTCTGTGTTTGTGTGTCAGATATAGACTCACTTACAAAACAGATGCACTGTGTTGAATCAGGACAGAACGTATTGAACTGAATAATCAAGCACTTTCGAAAAACATGCCAATTAAGAAAACAGATGATTCTTAAAAAATCCATTGCGTTTAACATAAATCATGAAGCAGTCATGGTTCCTATATCCATCACTCCTTTTGCATGCTGTCTCTTTATTTTCCCATTTGTGTCTAGGCATGTCCTGGATGGCCCCTTTTCCCCTACCTTCCTCTAACCTGATTTAATATGAATGAGTGTCTCTAAAGGGGGAGAGGGGGAGGAAAGAGGAGTGGTCTGATGTTGTTGGATGAAGTCATGGGGCTATATCTGGAGCACTCAGCAAGTCTTTGGAGCTTGTGTGTGTAGTTGATGTAGTCAGATCTAAATATGTATCTGCTGGATTAATGGGGTACCTGGGGCTGTGTAGTTACTCAAAATTTTAAATTGTGGTGTCATTTATTACTCTATGAGGATGGACTGATAACTTTAAATATATTTTCTCTGTTGCTATGTTTGTTTTGATGTTGCTGCAGCTTAATTTTGAATCAAAAATACAAGTAATTATCTTATGTTGCGTTTGTTTTTTGTGGGAAAAAGATTGTGCAAGGGTTGCTCAATTTCTGCCTCTTTCTCTAAAATACAACTGTAACATTCACTCTAAAAAGTGCATAACAGCTAAAGATTATCTGTTACATAGATAAGAGCTTGTTTAAATGTTTTGATGAAAAAAGCTATGACATGTCTCCAGTATACTGTGTCCATTTTCTGTTTTATTATGTAAAATCATTTGTTCAGTTATATACTTAGTAGTGGCAAAATTCATACTTTGCAATGACATCATGCTGGGGAGAGAGGACTCTACATGTATGTCTATATAGTGGAATGTCCAGCAGTTACCATGGAGACACATGCACACATTAGGGACTTCACATTAGGGATGTTCAGTATGATTTGAGGCTCATTCTCTCCCTCAAAATGTGGGGGATAGACTTTTTTTTTTCAATCCACATAAGCTGTTAAACACCTGTTAAACATTAGTAATAAAGAATATTAGGTCTATACTTTCTCTTCAGGTTAATTTGGAAGTACAGAAGTAATGTATGCTTTCAGTTATGTGCCAGATAACCATGATTATAATTTTTGCCATTTCCCCCTAATGACCTAGCAAATTCTCTTATCAACACTTGACCATCTCTATCTGAAGTCATCTTGGGCCAATTTTCTTCTTTATCTCTTTGTCTCTTTCTGCCTGTACCTCTGGCATTGCATGTGCTTTGTCTGTCCCATTGTTTGTTGTGGCACTTGAGAGGGTGTAACCTCTTTCGCAGCATCCGTACCACGAGAGATCCACACAAACCAAAAAGACAAACACGGAAAAGTGCCTTCTATTGAAAGAGAGTGATGCTTGGAGAGAGGGAGGAGAGAGAAGAGAGAGAGGAGGAGGAGGAGGAGGAGGAGGGAGGGGAGGAGGGAGTAGACTAGAGGCATGCTTTCTTTGCACTGAGACACAAGGCAAAGTGGCACACGTAGAGGATTTGGAATCACGAGTGGGAAGGTGCGGAAGAGGAGAGGAAGAGGAAAACGGCAGGAAAAAAAGGGGGGGAAGGGAAACAAGGAAGTGGACCCCAAAGGATTTAAAAAAGTGGATGCGGAAAGCGGAGATTTATCTGGCAGTGCAAAAGGGGTTTGTACTGAGGATTGTCACGCGGCAACAGAAGCAGCTAACAAGGCAGCAATAAGCATGAGGAGGTCTTCTTGTGTGAGTATCATTGATTCAGTGCAGTGTCTATTATGTTCTCTTAAGTTTTATCAGCTTTTTGTTTAATGT